TTTTTAAAATATTTTGTAAAGAAACGCTACCTATTGCAAAGTTTCTGAATTAAAATTTCCGGTTTGAGCGCGCGTTCATCTTCTAGTCAAGTATGAACTTTTCATATACATATTCTTGAAAGAAGTGATTCTGATGCTCAAATATAACAACTTTTTGTAGGGAAACAACATCGATAAACCCCTGTTTATTTGTTACCAAAAAGCCTTCTATTTACTCCACGCTCTCTGATGTAGAACTTGACATTGGACGGCAAACGCCATGGCCGGTGACGTCACTCTAATGGTTACCGCGAACTAATGGCAGGGCCATGGTATGGCCGGTTGACCGCGACCTACACAACGCAATACCATACACCAGGGACTCTACCAAATAAAATTTCATGAAATCCAAACTATTATTAAAGGTGAATTAAAATTAAATAAATAGGTTCAGTGTTATGAAGGACGAGTGGATGCTCATTAATGTCCATCCACAAATGGAAAGAGTCATGCTTAGCTTTAGGAATTAATTTTCTTTAGTAACTACGAGCTCTATAGACAATATAGACATCTAAAATAATGCAATCGGTTCGCGCGTGTTGTCGTAGTCGTTTTCTTCCTAACAAAAGGTCGTTTACTTGATTAAACTTCTTCATAGAGCTCACTTTATGTCTCCATTTTCACTGGATGTAGGAACATCGAAGGAGCAAGACAATTTATTGGATTCATTGGGCCTTAAATATGGACGGGGTATTATGTACCCAAGTAGATACCTAGTGTACCTACCTACTAATAGCTACATTGGGATACATTGCTTTTAAAACACGTTCCAAAAGAACCTCCCAAAGAATCTTTGCAAATAATACACAGCTCAGTGTCAAATAACTTGTGATTTTCCTTTTCGTTACAATGCAAATTACCGTGGGCGGATGGGTGGGAGCCACAATAGCGCCCGGCGGTACTATTACTTATTCTGTGGCCCGGCGTCGGGGACTCGGGGTCAATCCAATGAACTACATTTGACACTGGACCACCCATTATTATATTTTGTACACACCGGAGTAGGTAATTGAAAGTTACTATAAATCTTACTGAATAATTTATGTACAGTCGACAGCACATCAAGCTTTCGTTGCAAATTCGCCTCTATCGCAACTACGTAAGATACCACAGAGTTTACGTTGACGTGCAGTCGACTGTACCATGAGGTTATTTGATACCATGGATTTTCATATTTCAATCATAGGAATTTTGCTGTTTTTCATTAAAAAAACAAACTAATTATGAAATTATGCAATTTCTAATCAGTAAGATGACTCTTTGTCTTTACATCCAAGGTATAATCTAATAGAATTTATTTTATCCACGCTCTACTTGGGTAAGAATAAATTATAAGTAGGTAGTACGTGCTGATAACTCGCCAACTTATCTTCAAGCAAAGTAAAAATAGGTAGGTAGGCGGTTAGTGGAAATGTTCACAAAGTAGTGGCTACTTATCATTATAGAGAAGGGATAATGAATATTATAGGTTTGGTTTAGGTGACCTAAGTAAGTTTATTCTTACGAAATATTACTGTCCATTTTCTACAAAATCCCCATCGAAAACAAATCTAGCTATCATTATGGTATACGGTATACTATACTTAACTTCCGGGTAGAGTCGCTGTCAATGCCAATAAAGTTGCTAAGTTGCCCCGCGATGCGCAGCCAGAAACCAAGTTGCGGCACGCAAGCGTTGAAAGCTGTAATAAGTTTTGAAAAATTTAACCAACGCAACGTAGAAATTGTAGGGTTGATTAATCTTTATCTTTACATAGTATAAAAAAACAAAGTTGTTCCCGCTGTCTGTGCGCTTAGATCTTTTAAACTACGCAACAGATTTAAATGCAGTTTTCCTAATATCTGGCACTTTTTTTCATCGGAATTTACTTTTATCAAGTAAAATCAAAATTATCTTTATTTGTATAGACTAATGAAAAGTTTAAAGTAGAAACTAATTACCATACAAAATGGAGCCATACATGATGTTAATGCAAAAGCTAGTCAAATATTTTGCTGCCGCAGGCATTTAATTTTGTCGATATCACTCCTACCTCCTTGGAGGTCGAGGGTCCTTAATAAATCGATCAATGTATCTAATGAACTTTGGGAAGATTAATTTGCTAGTCAGCGTGATACCTACTAAGTTAACGAGATCGAAACGAAGTCGCTAAATGAAGCCCAATTTCAAGGCCAAGTGCTTTGGAAATTAGTTCAAATATTTTTTGTGCGTAGGTGGGTCTTTTTCTTCTTCTATCATGTGGGTTGATTGATTGTAACTACTGAGATCATAACCCTGGTGTCAGCCTTAATTATGAAACACCACTAAAGTGTCTGACAAGGATCCATGCAACCGATAGCTTAACGCGCCCCCAGAATCTTGGAATCAAATTTCTTCCGCAGGTTGATCGAAGCTGCCAAAATCCTAATTACAGTATAGTGCAGCTATTACGCTCTACACTTTGTGTAAATTATATTATTCATAGTTTCAACATAGTAAAAGCTCGAATTGATCCCCAGAAAAAAAACAATGTTTTCAACATTCTAAGGCTCTACCAAATCGTAATCATCTTTAAACTGCGTAGCAACCCTAATATTCCTCCCGTATCACGCCGTGCCAAGTGCGTGGTCCCGCCGCGTGACGCCGCGACAGGTCGTCCTGAGGGAATCACGCAGGAATGTACTGACTACAGCACGTCAAGCTATACGCTGAAGCATCTTATACCGTCGTAATACGAGCGAGTTTGCTATAGAATTGTATAGGCTGGTGTATTGTAGAATGTACTTTGGCCCTCCCCAGTAATTTGGAGGAATTTCCAAACCTGAAATCTATCGACGAATAAAAACAAATAATGGATGATTTGTGGGTGGTTTGTATGTAAATACATTTTGTTGATACCAATCGATATAAATGACGGCTATACGAGTAGATGTAGGATCTAACTTATATAACAATGTAACATTATGCATAAGATACGGATATACATCAATTAAAAGTCTATCTTGATGAAATTCAGGTTGTTTTTTCAGAGTTTTACTGATCTGATCTACATATTATAATAAATAATAATAAAAACTTCCTTTGCACATTATTTTTACTCTATACAATGGATCAATATGAAACTCTACCTTGATGAAATTAAAATTTCAGGTTGTTTTTCCAGAGTTTTCAGTAAGCCTATTGGAAGCTGTGCTGTGAAGCGTTGTACTTGGTTTTGATTACGATTTCATCTGTGTTTATAATGCCTATGCAGTGATGAATAAAAACTGTTTGCATTAATTATTGTTATGCAGGTTTGTTATTAAGACTTGGTGCTTTACTTTATTTCATCTCTGTAAAAGAAACATACCTAGAGATAAAATTCATTGTCTGAGAATGTTATAAATTACATCTAAATGTAGTAAAAGTCAAAGAGCTCTTAAGTTTGTGTCAACTGTTTTTATGAGATCCTAAATTTTGTGAGGATTGTGCGGACAGGTTGAAATATTTGTGATTTAAATTTACTTTGATGAAAATGCTTCGGTACTGCTATTGTCTCTTAGTAGCATTGGTTTATTTACATAAGAATTAATGCCATTTAAAATGGTATATGTATAAAGCAAACTTAATTGCACAAAGAATTCTCTGGCAGTTATCCTTCTGGATTTTAAGCAAAAAAAATCCTACCGCGGTTAGGTTATTAATAAGTAGGTTAATTGTCTCAATCCAGTAACTGAAGTAAGTAACTATAGGAGGTATTATTACACAAATTGGGAGCAAAAAACGGACTTATTCATTGGACTTATCAGAGCAGACGTTTTCCGAGAACTGACAATTAAATAAGTAATCCCTGATCACCGTTACGTTTAAGTGCGAAGCCTCCTTAGAAGTCTACGAACGCATTAAACTGCAAATAGAAATGCGTCGGTGCGCGCGCGCTGCTGTTGTCTGCGCGCAGACGTGCAGTGAACTTGGCAGAGATAGTAAGGCCGGGTGCAAACTAACAGTCGAACCTTTGATTTTCTTCTGATTTTGTTGCGGGTTCAACGATTGTCCGACATTTTCTTGGGACAAACTTGATCTTGATTCAAATCAAATCAGGATTTTTATTAGCGGTCAAGTTGTAATCCTGCAGGAATTGCATTAATGGGAATGGGATCATGAGAATAGTAAATCTTGGTTGATTAACCTACCGTGATACTCTGAAAAACAGTTTCAGTTGTGGTTAATCTCAAAAGGTTTAGGTATAAGGAAATAGACGTGAAAACGGACGTCATTTTTAACCGACTGAAAAGGAGGAGGTTTCCAATTCAGTTACGTTTTGTATTTAAAATTAGGTTAGTAATTACTTGTTTTTATAATTACTCCGTCATTTATACACGGTCTTGAAAAAATCTTGGTCCCATTTAATAAGATTATAGTAGTTAAGTTTTAATTGACGATAGTATTCAACAAGCCTATTGTGTGGCCTGGCTAAGGGTTCGGATGAGTCACAGTACAATACAAACTTATTCCTGTACCTGTGACGAATATATTTTAGGATGCGAGTGATTCACTCGATTAGAATCGTATTAGCTCGCTCTATATCGAACGCTGACCGATTCAGCATTGTCATGTTGTTGTTTAAATAACGCCAGAAAGTCAATAGTAAAATGAAACCAAATAAATATTGATTACATTTAAAAAAAAATGGAAAAAATAATAGTACTTATTTTACCTTTAATTAAAATTATTAAAACGGCACCAATTTTTTAAAATGACAGAAATTTGGTTGTAAACTTTTTTTTAAATAAAGAAGTAGGTAAATAATGTTTTACTGGCCGGTAAAGAATAGATTTTTCTTTCCTATTTTCTTTTGTTTCTTTTTACGGAATTCGATAATGCCATTAGTGTGCGTATTTAATTTTTTCAATGAGTTTAGTAAAAGGTTAGTTACGTTGTTCTATGTTACATTACGTGTATATCGAGAACATCTTATAATTTTTGGTTTTCTTTGTTTCAGATGAACAGGAAAGAGTACAAAAGAAAACATTCGTCAATTGGATCAATTCACATTTATCAAAGGTATGAATTATTTTCTCCAACAGTATTCATATTTTAAGATATTAATAAAATTGTTTTTACTGGTGTGTTTTTTACTCAATAAGTATTTAACTAGGTTACCTAGTTAGGGGGCGTCCATAAATTACGTGAGACAATTTTGGCCAATTTTCAACCCCCCCCGCCCCCCTTGGTGAGATTTGGTGAGATTTTGCCTGACCCCCTCCCCCACCCCCCTAATCTCACGTGATATTTAATAAAATGCCTATTTTGCAATGTCTATGCTACGAGTCTATTAGATTTATATGAAAAAATCAGTAACCCAATGTCGTGCCACGCGCAGTNGGTGTGTTTTTTACTCAATAAGTATTTAACTAGGTTACCTAGTTAGGGGGCGTCCATAAATTACGTGAGACAATTTTGGCCAATTTTCAACCCCCCCCGCCCCCCTTGGTGAGATTTGGTGAGATTTTGCCTGACCCCCTCCCCCACCCCCCTAATCTCACGTGATATTTAATAAAATGCCTATTTTGCAATGTCTATGCTACGAGTCTATTAGATTTATATGAAAAAATCAGTAACCCAATGTCGTGCCACGCGCAGTGCAGGGTTCCGTAGCTTCCCGTCGTTTAGTTCAAGCAATTGCTTCAACCTAGGACCAGTTTTTTGATTCATAGTTAAAATAACTAATTGTTAAATTTTGCTACTAATGGTTAAATATTAATAAAATGTAAACTAATAGTTAAAAAATGTACTAAAAGTCAAGTTAAACATTGCTAGAAAAAAAAATTCTGTTATTTATCCACTTGTCATTTGACATCTGTCAAATTTGACTATTGGTTACTTTAACTACAAATACATAATATTTTCATACGTATGTAATGTCATTTTTTAGGGTTCCGTAGTCCTGAACCCTTATAGTTTCGACATGTCTGTCTGTCTGTCCGAGGTTTCGCTTGGAAACTATTGGTACTGGGGAGCTGTAATTTTGTGAAGGTATTTATATTAATCACGCCGACAAAACGGTAAAATAAAATGTTCATAAAAAAATCTAGGGTAGCTCCCCTGCATGTAAAGTAGGGATGATTTTTTTCAAGGAAAACTATAACGGTTAAGATACATTACTTAGTTTAAGAGTAATAGTCATTTGACTCATGTATTATACAATTTCTTAAGCAGTAAAAATTCCTAAGAAGAAAATATGAAAAGTGACTTTAGATGAAGTAATTGCTTGCTTCTGAAATATATTGTGGTAACGACAGACAACTACGGAACCCTACACTGCGCGTGGCACGACACGCACTTGGCCAATTTTTTACGCAATAGCGATGCCGATGACGTTTTTTTTTAATTTCGAATTTTCTAATTTCGACATTTATTCTGCATCTTTAGTGTTCACAAATGCAGATGGAGGTATTTTTAGTTTAATTTGATTAGACGGTTTAGAATAAATTATCATTATCATCAAAAAAAAAATTTTTTTTTACTTCAATAACCCAGTTTTCTGGCAATTTTACTCTATTTCTTGCGGGAAAAATTACGTGATATTTTCCGAGACCCCCCCTCTCCCCCACGTGAGATTTAGTGAGGTTTTCGTTGACCCCCTCCCCCCCTAAAAGTCTCACGTAATTTATGGACGCCCCCTAATAACTATGGAATATTAAGTAGGTCTTCTTTTCAGAAACCTAGTTCTTCCACTGAAACCTTTTCAGCCTTACCAGTAACATCAATTATTTATCTACAGGCAATTTAGATGTTGCTTACAGATTCTAAGAGCAAAACATAAATGAAATGAATGAAAACTCTTTTCGTGTATCCTTGGTTTGCATTTAGTTGGATGAGAGTCCAACTTATAACTATACTATAGATGACCCACGCTGAACTGTCCCGCCAAACTCAATGACAGGGGGGCGCTACCATCGTTCAACTTTATGGTTTCCAACATGGCAAAAATCGGAACCAGCGATTCGGTATTAACGGTGGCGCCCCGCTGTCAATGTCATCGATAGGACAGTTCAGTATTTTGGAACTATACCTCGTTATTGATAAGTACAAGCAGTAAAACCTACAAGACTTATATTTTTCCAGCGTGTGCCGCCATTGCGTATCGACGACCTGATCTACGACCTGCGCGATGGCACCAAGCTGCTCGCACTCTTGGAGGTGCTATCTGGAGAGAAACTGGTAAATAAATAAATAAATAATAAATAATAAATAAATAATAAATAAATAAATAAATAAATAAATAAATAAATAAATAAATAAATAAATAAATAAATAAATAAATAAATAAATAAATAAATAAATCTTTGGACAATTTCACACAGCGCCAGCTAGCCCCAAAGTAAGCAATTCATATGCTTGTGTTATGGGTGCTAGCTTAACGGATATAAGGGAGAGTCCGCTAATTTGGACCAGTTTTTTTCAATCCCATTTTACACATAGTTTTCTTTTGTTTTTGCTAATGTCCATGGTATATAATAAAAGATACATTATTCAACTTACTATTTCATAAGTATTAATTAACATGATTGTTGTATATTTAGCACAAATCAACAAAGTACGAGTTCAGAGCTTCGGTCCAATTTAGCCAACCGGTTCGATAATTTGTACCACAGGGTTACTAAATTGGATTTCAATAAATTTCAAGCCTATAAAAAAACTATGGCAAAATATTATACGATACATTCTTAACAAATTAGGAAACGAAGAGGAACAGTAGTTAATAACATAGACAATCGATATTGTTTTACACGTTAACACGATTTTGAGTACAAGTTTTGTAATTCCTATTATCGTAACGCACACTTGGTACCTAATCTACTTTGCCAGTCTTTTGCTTTCATTTATTGTTAGTCAAACATAACTACCCTATTATAACTTCAAAATTTGATTTCCAAAAAAAAAAATTCAAAATCCTTTGGTAAAGTTCCATACAACTTGATGTGGTACAATTTAGCCGACTAGGTGATAGTGCTTATAAAACATCGGTAAAAAATAAAGCTTATAAATACCGAAAAATGTTTCAAACAATTGTAATCCACACTAATTTACGCTTCTAAATAATATATTAGAAACACCCTGTCATTAAAGGACAGTGCCAGGGTCTGGACCAAGTGTTGCCCAGAATCAACCCATAGGGCATTTTGTTCCTCAGGCCTATACTAATGTGTAAACCGAAGCGCACTCAAATCTATCCCTGGAGTTAAGAGAAAAAAAGAGTTTAGTTTCGAATTATTTACATACAAAATATCATCGATGTATACGTACTACGCATAAGATTTCGCGATTTTGGCATTAAATAACACTCGCTATGTTGAACTTAACCATACTGCATCCGTACACATTACTTTAGTGCGATTTAGACATTCTTTATAAACGATCTAGCGCTGTTTTAATTGTTTGGTAAGTTGACAAAAATTAATTATTTCCAAAATGAAGAAAGAAATTTTAGTTATCTATCCTTGCAAATAGTCAATTTATTGGTGTATTACAATCGATTATTATTGAAGTTATTGTAAGCTAAAACTTCTTGCTCCATTTTGGAAATAATTAATTTCTGTCAACTAACCAAACTACTGCAACAGCGCTTGATTGCTTATAAAGAATGTCGAAGTCGTACTAAAGTAAGTTGTACGGATGCAGTTTGGTTAAGTTTAACCTAGTTTAACATAGCGAGTGTTATTTAATGCCACCATCGCGAAATCTTATACGTAGTACGTATACATCGATGATATTTTGTATGTAAATAATTCAAAACAAAACTCTTTTTTTCTCTCGACTCCAGGGACAGATTTCAGTGCACTCCGGTTTATAAATTAGTATTGGCCTGAGGAACAAAATGCACTATGGTTTCATTCTGGGCAGCACTTGGTCCAACTTCCATACATGGATTGGCACTGTAATTTAACAAAATTATAATCTAAACATGTATTGTCAAAAGTTACTTGAAAATAATGAAAAAATACTTTTCAAAATAAAACACACGTGTTTGTGGTCACGGCAAAAACCACATGGCCGATATTAATTGATTTTAGTTGTGTATCGCTGAGTGTTGCAATTACAGACATTCAATAAATACTTTACGAAATATGAGGGTGGTACAATTTACCCGGCGGTACAATATACCGAACTCTCCCCTACTACTTAAATACTTTTTTTTTAAATACAGTCACGGAATGAAAAGGTTCGTCAGTTTTCAAATTGATTCCTTCAACGAATCGCGAGCACATGTTACATTTTGAAACTATGTTACAGAATAATCTCGAGTTAGAGAAAATAATCTTTAACTGTTCGTCAGTAAAGTTCAAAATTATTCAGATCAAAGTTGTTTGACGATTTATCTNCCTTTGGTAAAGTTCCATACAACTTGATGTGGTACAATTTAGCCGACTAGGTGATAGTGCTTATAAAACATCGGTAAAAAATAAAGCTTATAAATACCGAAAAATGTTTCAAACAATTGTAATCCACACTAATTTACGCTTCTAAATAATATATTAGAAACACCCTGTCATTAAAGGACAGTGCCAGGGTCTGGACCAAGTGTTGCCCAGAATCAACCCATAGGGCATTTTGTTCCTCAGGCCTATACTAATGTGTAAACCGAAGCGCACTCAAATCTATCCCTGGAGTTAAGAGAAAAAAAGAGTTTAGTTTCGAATTATTTACATACAAAATATCATCGATGTATACGTACTACGCATAAGATTTCGCGATTTTGGCATTAAATAACACTCGCTATGTTGAACTTAACCATACTGCATCCGTACACATTACTTTAGTGCGATTTAGACATTCTTTATAAACGATCTAGCGCTGTTTTAATTGTTTGGTAAGTTGACAAAAATTAATTATTTCCAAAATGAAGAAAGAAATTTTAGTTATCTATCCTTGCAAATAGTCAATTTATTGGTGTATTACAATCGATTATTGAAGTTATTGTAAGCTAAAACTTCTTGCTCCATTTTGGAAATAATTAATTTCTGTCAACTAACCAAACTACTGCAACAGCGCTTGATTGCTTATAAAGAATGTCGAAGTCGTACTAAAGTAAGTTGTACGGATGCAGTTTGGTTAAGTTTAACCTAGTTTAACATAGCGAGTGTTATTTAATGCCACCATCGCGAAATCTTATACGTAGTACGTATACATCGATGATATTTTGTATGTAAATAATTCAAAACAAAACTCTTTTTTTCTCTCGACTCCAGGGACAGATTTCAGTGCACTCCGGTTTATAAATTAGTATTGGCCTGAGGAACAAAATGCACTATGGTTTCATTCTGGGCAGCACTTGGTCCAACTTCCATACATGGATTGGCACTGTCCTTTAACAAAATTATAATCTAAACATGTATTGTCAAAAGTTACTTGAAAATAATGAAAAAATACTTTTCAAAATAAAACACACGTGTTTGTGGTCACGGCAAAAACCACATGGCCGATATTAATTGATTTTAGTTGTGTATCGCTGAGTGTTGCAATTACAGACATTCAATAAATACTTTACGAAATATGAGGGTGGTACAATTTACCCGGCGGTACAATATACCGAACTCTCCCCTACTACTTAAATACTTTTTTTTTAAATACAGTCACGGAATGAAAAGGTTCGTCAGTTTTCAAATTGATTCCTTCAACGAATCGCGAGCACATGTTACCTTTTGAAACTATGTTACAGAATAATCTCGAGTTAGAGAAAATAATCTTTAACTGTTCGTCAGTAAAGTTCAAAATTATTCAGATCAAAGTTGTTTGACGATTTATCTTGTCAAGAAGATTATTATGATTGTAAACTAAAACCTTCTTGTTGGTTCAACCTGCCATTATTATTTCTATTAAATAAAAAAAAAACTATTGTCAATTGGTCAATGTCATCATTGCATTGCACTGATGGGACAGAAAAATAAACAAGCAAAACCTTATTCGTTAGCAAACGTCATATTTATTTTCATGTTAGCAGCACTGTTTCTTGCACTGTTATGTTGGCAGGTTTGATTCTTACAGTACCTAGTGCAAGCGAAAACCGACACTAAGGTGACGAACCTTTTCATTCTGCGACTGTACATACATATTACACATAGTAACACCCAGACCCGTCACAGAAATTAAAATTCATCATTTCAATTTCTGCCCGGCCGGGAATCGAACCCGGGACCTCTCGGCATAGTAGTCCGTTCTGAACCACTACACCAAACGGCCGACAAAATATTATTATGTACTAATAGCTGGCCAGGCGAACTTTGTACCATAAAAGAAAAATGACTTATCTAATTTAGTGCAGACGTTTGGAAGCTATGTAATTTAGGTACGCACATTTCCGCGGTTCAAGTCAAGACATCGGTGTGCGTATAGCGGCTACTTTCAAGAACTAAAATTTTCATAGATTTCTTTGGCGTACTTTATTCGCTAACGAGCACACCTAACGAAATTCATGGTGAGCTCATCTAAATTGGATAATCCAATCAGACTCAGCGTACGTTTTTGGAACTTGCCAAATGACTCCATCAATGCAACCAATTTTCCATCCAAGGCATTGTAGTCTGGATGGCTTAATCCCACACAATAGCGTTTGATCAAGTATGAGTTAATTGCCATGTAATGAGCCGTAGTAGTTTCCTCGTATAAAGTTGATTAATATCTATAGGAGTCAATGATACCAAATTAAAAAAATGAATATTTAGTTATTTTTCTTGAACTTTATTTAGGGGCAAACGATCTTAAAGCCAGCTTAATAAAAGGATAGCCAATATTTTACTTAACTTTGTATTTTGTAAACCAAGATTCGTTCAAGCTAAGGTGCGGCGAGAGGACGGGTCAGTAAAAAGATAATTATAGCTTCTATGACGTTGAAGAGCAGGACGTGTTTGCGGAATGCTACCTGCAGTTGGACAAAAAGTTTGCTTCCAATATCCAAGCAGATCTGGACCAATATTAGCTCCAAGTTATAGGCGCACTAAGTACCGAAGCGTGTCTATAACTTTACCTGCAAACATTTTCGTGATGATGATGATTTTTTGATTCGGAGAATAAAAAGCAAACAAGGACGGGTCAAGTGGTTATAACTTATTTTATTCAAAAAGGTAAAATTGTATCGTAAAGTTGAATGATGTATGAGGTTGCAAATTTGACATTCTGACTTAAAATAAGTTTTGAAAACTAGGAAAGAAAACGTAAGAAAGTTTCGGGATTTTATACTTATGATGGTGGTATACTCCTGAAGAACCATCGAATCTGTTGTAGACTTAATAATCACTAAAACATAATTTTAACTATTAGGTATTATGTAGAATCTAATTTTATGTCCATCTTTCAGCCAATGGAAAGAGGTCGCGTCCTACGCCGGCCACACTTCCTATCCAACGCCAACACGGCTCTCCGCTTCTTGGCCGGCAAGAGGATCAAGCTGGTCAACATCAACGCCGCCGACCTGGTGGACGGACGACCCGCCGTCGTGCTCGGCCTCATCTGGACCATCATCTTGTACTTCCAGGTAGGATGTGGGTTCTTGGGAGTGGTAGAGTCGTTTTATTTGAAACTGAGAAAAACGGGACTCGTAAGGTGCACTTAAGTAAGGAATACTTACCTTACGAAAGTAATTATAACTTGCCGTGTTACTACAGTCGTAGTCACTCAAGCAGACTGGATGCCCATAGCGTCGCCAATAGCATAAAAATCTTCTGTCATCCTCAAATCGAGTCCCGTTGTTTTCAGTTTTAAATATAATGGAACGCGGAAATATAGAGTCATTGTTTCAATGGTAGGCAGACGGCGATATGACAGTACCTACCTATTTATTTTTAATTGAATTTAAATGTATTATGAAGAGTCATGATGTTGGAATTACCTCTAAAATAAGTACGAAGAAGAGTTTGAAAGTCAAAACAGGAATTTCCTTGAAGCCTGAAATTACTTCAACTAAAATAGTTTGATTTAAATGCTCTACATACTAAAATACCTACAATTCGGCAGTACTTTGTGGTAGGTATCTGTTTAAATGACTAAAAATAGTCACCCTTTCAAGTCAATCTTTCATTAACATAATATGATTATCTAATACCGTTGTCTAGTACCCATAGTACAAGCTTTGCTTAGTTTGGGACTAGAGGCGCAGTGTAAAAAATGTCCAACGATATTATTTATTTATTTTATTTCTAACCAACATTTACGAGTAGTTACTTGCTTAATACTCTTATTCAGTTAATAATAAAGAGAATTTCGCAAACACCTCTATCTATTGAACTGTCAATCGCTGTTTCCATAAAATACGTAGTAGGTAGTTTTAGGTAACTTTTTAGATAAAAACCTAGAGATTTTTTTAGATCACTAAAAAGTAGGTACGAAGACTAGATTACGGCACAGTAACAACACCGATTGGGTTTTGTAGGTAGACAACACATTGATATTTCTGTGTTTTGTGGCCGAAATGATCACTTTGTGAATTGGAAAAAAATATCAGTCAGTGTATTTTATATTTTCTGCTTCAATTTCGGTGTTATATAAATATAAAATACACTGACTGACTAAATATAAAATATAAAATACACTGACTGATCGTTTGGCTGAACGATCAGTCAGTGTATTTTATATTTTCTGCTTCAATTTCGGTGTTATGCCCTATTGACAACACGTGTATATTTGTTGTCTCTATTTTACTATCTTACTATTACTTGTATATTTATTACGGTTAATGTGATAAATTGAAAATTATTAATAATAACCGGTTATTATGAATAATTACCGACAGTCGCGGTAAAAGTGATAAATTAATCACATTTAACAGTGATATTTAATAATTCAACCTTAGTACTAACAAATTTCATAATAGAGAACAACATCTTGTGTACGTGCTCGTGTAGGTACAGCCAAACTTTTGAACGTTTTGATATCATATATTAATATAATTTGGCATAATGAGTTTGGAATGTTTCTTGCATAATATTACATTTCCATGATGCCTATAACATAATGTTTTGATTTAAAGTGAAAAATAGGTTAAGGTGCGGCGGGGGTGGCCCTTGGGCCACCCTTAAGCCGCCTAAGTTTTATACACACATAAATGACCTCATATTAATCACATTTACCAAATCATGCGGTGATTATTCATAATAACCGGCGATTATTCATAATTTTCACATTTATCACTTTGACCGTAACATATTCATCAATATTACCATTATAATAACCAGTGATAAATCAAATTCAAAATTTTATTAAAAACATGGGCAGCCAATAGCAGAAAATTCTCATTTTATCTGTCCTCGTTTTATTGTAATATATGCAAATTTCAAAGCATTATTATTAATATCTTTAATCTATGTAATTTTATTAGTAGTATCAGTTTTATTGGCAATGTTACTAACCATTTTATTATAGTAACATAATTTTAGCAAAATGGTCATCTTATAAAATAAATATTGAATTGAACTTTCAACTTAATTGTTAGATTTTAAACGGAAAATAGAAGATCATTTTGCCTCTATGATACAAATTAGTGGCACTTACCAATGTATTTTGAGGATAAACCATATTATTATGTTCCTTGTTGTTAATAAAAATTGTTGGTATATTCTCATCTTAATTGGCTTGAACATATTTTGTTTGCGCAAGCTTCTCTCAATTTATTGGACCCACAGGACAGAGAGCCAAAGGTAGGTGAATGCTAAAAATGCTTTTAGATTATTTTGCACCACTTTATGTTAATTCAAAGGCCCACCTTCTAATTATTCAGTTCATTCAAGAATAGTAACAAGAAGGAGTAACTTTTTTGTGAACACCGTTATTGAAGTTCTGAGCATTCATACGGGGGTAACTGTGGAAAATGTGGAAATATTAACTTTACTCTTTGAAACCATTACGATGAAGGCCTTTGGGTTAATGTTAATTGGTACAAACACGTATAATGCGGTAGAATTAGTTACTATCATTGTAGTAATTACTTAGTACCTACTATTGAATGTGCTTTGGCAATTAGATTACCTATGTTGTTAGTATCTACTATGTATGTATGCCAACTTGTTTTTTTACCTCTACCAAATTCCTTCAGCAACTTACCTACAATCAATTTTTTTTAACTTTTTTTACTACCAATACGAGTATGTTGATACTTTGTAATTCTATTATTTCAATATTACCATGGATTCCATTTTCAACCGACTTCATAAAAGGAGGAGGTTCTCAATTCGACCCGTATGTTTTTTTTTCTATGTTTGTTACGCGATAACTCTGCCAATTATGAACCGATTTGAACAAATCTTTTTTCGGCGTATAGGTAATACCTCAAGGGTGGTCCCATTTAAATTTAATAATAGAAAAAACAACCCCCAAGGGTGGAAAATTGGGGATGAACTTTTTTATACGCAATATCTCCGCCGATTATAAATCAATTTGAACGATTATTTTTTTGTTGAATAGGTATTATCAAAAGGGTGGTTTCATGCGAATTTGAAGAAAATATTTCACCCCCAAGGGTGGAAAATTGGGGTTTTTTTGTTATTTTATTTAATAAAGATAGATTTAGTAAGTTTTAAGTTTATTACACATGTTTAAACGGTAAGGAGCCAAATTTCAATGATCATTTGATGATCAAAAATTATTTTTTGTTCTTTGATTTGAGTAATGCTGATTGAGTGAGTCAGTTTATTTAACTAATAAAATTTAAGTTTTCTGTTTATTTTATAAACGGTAAGGAACCGCATTTAATTTTATTAGTGATTATTATTTTGTTGTTTATCTTAGCCAAAATCCCATTCCCAACTATAAATCATTTCTTACCCCCGCTGTTAAAACTTTCCCCAGCGATGTTAAAACCAACCCCAAACCGGGGGTAAGATCTAACAAGTGACTTGTTTGGCAAAACTCGATTTTTCTCAGATATGGTAATTATTATATACATTTTGTTGTACTTTACGTAAAGCTCATTAAATTTGACATCACGTACCAAAAAACCATGTTTCTTGCTAAAGCAGTTTAGAACATATTACGCTCAAATCAAAATTTGTTAGGACCAGCCCCAGTCTCCCCTACCCTATTTAAGTACTCGTAATAAATCCTGCTTCATAAAATCCTAACTGTGCTTCGCGGTGCCTTCAATAAATGTGCTGGCAAAATCTCTTCATAAAATTATTTTGCTACAACTTTGTTTCATATTTCTGCTATTGGTTGAATGATAACCACTATTGGATTTATTGATTTGATCAGTCTCACGACACCGCATTGTATGTTAAACAAGCACAATGCAAACAAACGCACAAACAAAACTATTTATGCAAAGCGTTTTCTTAGGTAGGCCATAGATATTTACAAAAAAATTAACTATATGCGCAGTAGTTCAGAGTCAGCACTATAATAGCTAAATTGTGCGTCACTACTTGATCTTACAATGCACTAAAACTTTGAAGACGTCCAAAGTTATGGTTAGTTTTGCTGATTCATCATCTGTCAATAATTATTAAGTTATTTACTGTGGTATACTTTGTATCCCAATGAGTCTGGTCTACAAGGGTATTGCAGGTCATTCATTTGTCTAGTAAACTTTGCTAGAGATTAGTCTTCCTGAAATGGAGGCTTACGCCCGTTTTCACCATCAATCCCTAATTTTTAAGTGACCCCTATGGACACATAACAGGAATTTTGTTTTCATAGGGGTCACTTAAAAAGCGCAGCGTAGGACGTCCGCCCATAAGATGGACCGACGACCTCATAAAGGTAGCGGGAAGACGCTGGGTGCAAGCCGCCAACAACCGGCCATTGTGGAAATCATTGGGGGAGGCGTATGTTCAGCAGTCACAGTGGAAGTGTGGACGTCCTATGGCTGAAATGATGATGATGATGATGAGGTGACCCCTCATCACCTTAAAAATTAGGGATTGATGGTGAAAACGGGCATTAATGACATATCGAAGATGGCTGATGATGGTGTACCTACTGGTAACTCTATCAATCGCATGTTCGTCATAATATTCCAAGTTCGGTATTTAGGTAGCCTAGGAATTGAAAACAACATGAATTTAAATTACAGAATTAATTTTCAATTATATTTCATTGCTATATCATTTGGGTAAGTAAAGAATTGTGCATGAGTACACATGAGTCATGTGTTGTGATGTGTGCTTAGAGTGTTAGTCCTTAGGGAGATTAATGGTGCAAACATCCCGTTCAATTGGGGAAGTCAATGCACTGGATGCATGAATTGGTTTGTTCTGGTCTGGACATTTCGACTTCGTATTAGAACTTTAGCAATACCGATTCGTAAGTACTCTTTATTACCTTGGTAGAGCTTATGTATATGGTTATTTATTAATCTTCTTGGGGTGATGTGACTCAGATGAGTTACTTTTTCTGTAACTTGATAGACTAGGAAAATCGGTATTTACAAATGTTTGATAGGGTACAGTAAGAATAATTAAATATTGGATCGATTAGTTTGCCAATGAAGCTTCATTATAAGCAAGGCACATAGTCACAATAAAATGATAGACCTGGTGCTCTTTAAATGTCTCTATCTTATGGACTGGTCAAACAGTTGGAATTTGCTGAGAAGGAACTATCTCTAGAATAGCTAAAAACACATTCAAATGATTTAAGCTGCAGAAATCATAATAGGCAATAAATTATCATAATAACTAAAACAGACAGCAAATTAAGCCAATGATATTTTGTATATCGCCATGTTTTTGGCGACAAGGTCAGATGTGCATGGACGACTGGTTCCGCCAGTTTTTGTCGTCGCCAGTATTATTGTTTATGCTAATGTTGTAACCGTCAGTTTGAGCAAAATACTTTAGTAAAGACTCATGGTTATGTTACATAAAACTATTTGTTTATAATATTTTAAGATGAATAGCAATATAGGTAATACTGAATGCAAGCTAGTTAAGCAGGTACATAACTTTTTATAGTACTTTATTAGTAATTTGAGTACCTAAGCATAGCCATGTTAAGTAAACTGTAGTTGTTAGATATTGATTTTTATTAACTCCAGAAGATGCCAGTTCCTGTATAGAGATTCCTGTAGGAATATAATAATATTTTCTTTACATTAGGTAGGTAGTTCGTTAAGAATCAAGAAAGAAGAAAAAGGTGCTAGACAAATAAGTTTTCAGTAATGACTTTGTAATTTGTAACTGTAACGAATTTCAACGCTTAGGTAATACGTGGCTCTCTTTTGACTCATCCTCTTTGATATCAGAGAGCAAAGTAAAAACAAAACCTTTACAAAAGTGTTTCCATCAAATTGTTTCCAGATCGAAGAGAACAGCCGGGCACTGGAATACCTGGTCGGATCGCGCTGCGCATCGGTCATGTCCCAGGAGTCGGGGACGGCCACCCCGACTCACAGGGCCGAGGACCGGTGGAAGCAGGGCGCCAGGAAGACCCTGTTACAGTGGGTGGCGAACGCTTTGCCCAAGTAAGTATTTGGTACCCACGGGACCTTAGGTGGTATATTTTTGAAGTCATTTGAAATTCTGGTACAGTTCCAAGGCACTATTAAAACGCCAAGAGTAAGCTCCTAATGGTCACACTTTAATTACTTTATGGCGCTAAAGCTCTTAAGCTTTGGCAGCATTGCAGAGTTTGTAGTTTCTGATTCTTTAACGTCATATTAACGCTCGAAATTAAAATAACAAGTTACCAGTGAAGTAAGCTACCTTGACTACTATAATAAAAACACGGTGATTAATCACAATGTTGTCAAATTGGATTGGTCGCCAATAAATCATCGAGTTGTCTAAATAAAACAACCATCTGACCGATGCTAACTTCTTTACAGGGACTCGAACATCCAAGTGACAGACTTCGGTCCATCCTGGCGGGATGGTATCGCGTTCCTGGCAATCATTGACGCCATCAAAGCGAACCTGATCAACCTGGCGGAGATGAAGCGGAAGACCAACAGACAGCGCCTGGAGCACGCCTTTGACGTGGCGGAGAGCGAGCTGGGCATCGCCAGGCTCCTCGACGCTGAAGACGTGGACGTGGAGAAGCCAGACGAAAGGTCCATCATGACATACGTAGCACAGTTCCTGCACAAATATCCTGAACCCAAGGTAAGAGCTCCTTAACCGATCAGGATGTGGTGATTGTTCACTGATGTTTGTGTTACTTATTTAAATAATACATTGCTTGTTACAGACAACAGGACCAGATGCCGTAGCGGCAGTACAAGAGGAGTACGAATCTCTTAGAATGTGGTTGACGGAGCGCGTCACCACAATTCAAAGGCAATACGACTCGCGAACGCTTTCGCGAAACTACGACGACTACGTGCGTGCCGAAAATGAGCGGCTCGCCCGCGAACCGACATACCAGAAACTCGAAAAACTCATGTACACACAGAGCCTAGTAGCAATAGCACCCAAGTCCTGGCGGGAACTCGTCTCGCTCTGGATAGAACTAGAGAGGCTGCACAGAAGATGGCTTTGGCTCCTGGACGCAGATTTGCCTGGAGACTTCAAAGTCATCGGCGAGTGGCTTGCACGTTCCGAATACCTTTTATACTTCGACGAAATCCCTTCCAACTTGGACGAGAGAACCGCCGCAATCATAAGCGAAAAATTAGAAGAACACAGCTCATTCTTCGCCAACCTCCCAGAGGTGATCGAGAGATTTGAAAGAGCTTTGAGATCTCCAGAAGCGTCGAGAATCCCGCCAGAGAGATTACAAGATATGAAAGATAGGCTTGAGACTGTCAGTCGAAGAGCACCACAACGCAAAGCCAGATTAAAGTATTTAGAGCACAAATGTTGTATCGTAGCGTTTACAGAACTTACGAGGGCCAAGCTCGCCGCTTGGACCGGTAAATACGGTCGAGTTGACCATGTCCGTGCCTTATTAGATGACTATGACAATTTCGTAACTAAGAATAAAATTTTCCAAGAGTTTGATAGAGCATACGTGGATATAAAGCAAGTAGCAGATGAGTATAAGAGAGTGTGTGAAGTAGATAGGACTGAAGCGAGAGAGATTGATGCATTTTTGAAGGAAGTGTCTGAGACGTGGAGACGGGTAGCCTCAGACGTGAGGTGTGCCCGCAGTGTGCTTGAAGAAGTCATCGCTCACTGGGAGAGATGGAACACGTTGGCTGATGACTTCACCACTTGGTTGGACAAAGCCCAGCATATGCTGAGGGTTTCAGAAGATGAGAGATTGGAGTTCTTCCACGACCTGACTGTATGGAAGGAGAAGCACCAGCTGTTGGGTGATGCAGCAGGATTCTTAGCTGCCACATCCTCTGAAGAAATCAGCTCAGAGATTAAGAGGAAATACGTTGAAATTACTGAACGTTGGGAACGCGTCTGGGAAGAAGCTGAACGGTAAGTTGTTTGTTATTATTTACATCTCCAGTTTGCTCTCAACGATAACAACATCAACTTGGTGCTTAAACTCTATCCAATTGATTTTTTTTTCTAGTGTATAAATAAGTACCCTAACATTGCAAAAAGAAATGCTGTGTACCTATACCTGTAATTGAGGTCATATATCATGTGTTAAACCATGTTAAAATGTATGAACTGTATTATGTATGTGACTTTGTTGGTGTAAATAAATAAACATCAAAGTGATAAAGGTTTTTAGCTTTCATGTCTGGTATTTTAATGTCTGGTTTTTGTAGTTTAATACCGTCTAATTTTCTTCCAAATTTTTGTAGCTACGTCCGCGGAGGCGACGCTCTCCGCCACCGGCGCGAGCTAGCTTCAGGCGTGCAAGAGCTGGACAGCTGGCTGGCGGCCGCCGACAACCTGCTCTCGCGGCAGCCGCGCGCCAACACCGCCGACATCCAGGCCTACATCGACCAGCTGCTGCAGCTCAACTCCGAAATAGAACATCATGAAGAACTGTTCAAGTCTATCAGCAGGTTTGTTAAAATGATTTGATGTTCTAGTCTCAACAACATCAGGTCTTTTGATCTCGACTGCAGGTGCACGACTCTCTAATTTACCAGAGGCAAATGAAGGATTCGGCCTACGCTGCCCATGCTGACCAGACAAGTTGGGGAGGGTCTAGTTTACATAGCAAGAAATCCTCTTCTAGGTCCACAAGAGGGTCTAGCCTTTAGAGGGTCGTCTAAATACTTTAGGAGCTGCAGTATTCGGTTAATGTATGACCTACACTGAACAGTTACTTATTGCAACATAACAAGTAAATTAAGCATCATTAAGATCCTATTCGAGAATCATTTTTAGATTTCAAATCACAAACTGACGGCAATAAATACATTATTTTTTTTATTTTTATTTTTTTTAAACTTACTTTCCTCTACAAAGTTTATGCAGATCACAACGATGTTATGTTTTACATAGGTTCTTAAATTTATAGTGATTGGAGCTGAAAAAGTATGCTATATCAAAAGAGAACAAGATTTTAATTTTAACACTGTTATTAGTAGACTTCAAATCCAACTTTCATTCCAGGACTTTCCAAAACGCGATTGCTGAGTTACCCCGCGAGGAGGTAGAAGGCAACATGGCGAAATTGAAGCAGCAAAAAGAAGCACTGGTTCGCGTCAGAGCAACCGTTCCTGTGAAGCTGCACCAGTACAGGCAACTTCTGGTCCAGCATGAGTCATTAGAAAGCGGACAGAAGGAGATCGGGCAATGGCTAGACAAAGCAGAAGATGCGCTGAGGATGGGTGGAGAAACTCGAAGGTAAATTGAATATCAAAAGGAAATGGTACTAAAAAATCGAGAATCATCAGGCCAAGTTTCTTGGAAAGACTGAGTCTCAGAATATGCTTTAATTACTGTCAATTCCACAACGCATTTGGTTGATTGTGAACGAGCGATAGGAGCAAATGTGCCTGCGAAAAGTGTACAAGTCAAAAAAGTAACACTCATATCCTCTAATGAGACTGGAAAAACGTGATCATTCTGTTTACGAGAAACAAAGTCTCTTAAGTTAACCACGTTCAGTTGTGCTTGGACTTGGATCCAATCTTAATTCCAAACATCTTTACTAGCAGAATACATAAAGTTAATACAATTCAAATCTTTCCATCCAGAATACATAATCTTAATGGAATTCTACTGACCGATTTAAATGATCTACAGGGAAATAGTAGAAGAGCGCTACGAGATCCACCGCTCGTTCTTTTCGCGCACCACGTACTACCGCTCCATGCTGGAGAGCAAGAACAAGGTGTTCCAGAACATCGTGCGCGCCGCCGACACCGACCGCAGCGCCGACGTCACCGACCAGGTCCGCCACATGCGCGACCTCAACGAGAGGTGAGTCTTGATAGTCGAATTTCGGATGTACAGACGACAGCACATCAGACTATATCCAGAACATTTTTGTTGCAAAATTGCCTTTATTACTAAGGACATAAGAGGCTACCGTGCTTTAGCTTGACGTGCCGTCGTCTATGTCCCCCTGGAATAGCTCCACTACTGTATAATAACCTGTGTGCTCAGTTTTTCTCCGGTCGTAACAGGTGACCAGCAGTCGATTGTTAAATGAACGTTTGTCCAACAGAATGTTTCATTCTTTAACTGGTAGAGTCCAAAAGATATGATAATGATCTATTACCTGAATTTTTCTCACCTTACACTTAATTAAAGTTAGTAGATGTTAAGGTTTGAGGATTTATTCAGTCTAAACAATAATACCTACATACCTACATGAGCTCAAACTTTAAATATAGCTACAAATACATGAACTAGTATGTATTAAAATTGTAACATTTCTGGCAGATTCGCCCACGTATCATCCGAGGCCACGCGCCGCGAGTCGGAACTGCAGCGCCTCGTCCGCGCCTGGGAAGACTTCGAGACCAAGAAGCGGTCGGTCGAGGAGTGGGCCTCCCGGGCCGAGGCCCTGCTGGCCGACAACCGCGTGGACTCCAAGCAAGCCGTGGACTTCCACAAGAGGTTCTTCCAGGGAGCCGACGAGAGGGCTGTTTCCGAGCTGGTGCGGTCTGGACGAGAGTTGCTGGAGGTTTGTACAACTAAAATGCTGTGTTGCAATAGGGAACCGAACGTTAAACTTACTCATTAAACCGATATTTCACCCTTCTTCGGCGTAGCCAGTAGTAAGGGTTATGTGTTTTAGCAACCCGTGTATGTATTTATGTATGTTCAGCCGTAGCACCTAAACTATTCATCCGAATTTGTCAATCGATTTAACATGGGCTACATTTTATTATGGTGACACACTTATCACTGCGTTTGTTATTTTTTAATTTCTAGTGAAAATGAAATTAATCATCGCTGGACAATAAAATATGCATTCCGATAATGCATGTCTTGACGTCATTCTGTCGTAGCAGCAAAGAAATAAATTTAGAAAGAAAAATTTTTTTATTTAAGTCAAAGGGGTGCATCATTTCTAAACAATCACTTCTTGTCAACAGCTGGTGAACGAAGAAGACCGTCCCCGCGTGGTGCAGACCGTAGAAGAACTACAGCGACGCTGGCGCGAGTTGCTGGCGCGCGCGCCACCACACCTTATGCGCCTGGAGTTCCGTTTAGACGAGGCCGTCTTCCACCACTGCATCAAGGACATCGAGAAGGAGATCGTTTATGAGGAACAGGTACATAACAATCCTAACTCAACATCATTTAGTCACAGAACGTCTACTGCTGGACATAGGCCATCTCCAAAGATTTCCAGATTGGCCAGTTTGGTAGTTCAATTTAAGCCCACTGCCAATGCGTGGTATCATCAAGTGTATGGTCACCTCTGATTTATACCATGGCTAGAGTTGAAACTGGGTATAAGGGTAATAAATGAAATGGAGTTTATTCTAACATTATTCCAACATACTAAATTGTGTATAGTTGTTGCAATTCACGAAGGCGAGTGGGCTATACATGTGTGGTGGCTCGTTAATGTTACAGTACTTAATGTTTAGTACACGTACTCACACAAGTAAACACTCGCCTTCGTCAGTTGCAAGAACTATTTAATTTTAGCTAACTTTATTTTTCAGGCCTACAACCAAAGCGACGACGCTGACGGTATACTCATCAGGAACGAGGAATACTTCCGCAACCAAGGCAAGGTTATGCAGGTGGAACACTGTCTCCAGAACCTGAAGAAGATAGCGACGAGCTACACGCACCAGACAGGTGACGTCGCACTGGAAGAAGAGCTCAGAAGGTGCGAGCAACAATGGGAAAGCACCGTACAAAGAGTGGAACACTTCAGGCAGCAACTCCAGAGGATCCCAGCCAAATGGGACGCCTACAGGGAGAAATTCCGGGAAATGGAGAGGTGGATGGACCACGTTGACAAGACCATGGACAGCATTGTACGAGAGGTGGATTCCGCAGAGGCGTTCGAACGAGAGAAGACAATATTCCAGGTAAGTGATTTGTTTCTAAGCGAATGTGGAGTAATAAGATCTATTTGTTAACATCAGGCAAAATATTCATTAAGTGTATTATTTTAAATGCTTTCAATTGGAACAGTTAAGGGAACTAATGGTAACTATAAGCATTAGTTATAAAAAATGGTAGTATAGTTAATTTACTCATTGTTATTCTATGTGTTTAATATTATGTTTTTAGAACATCTGCCGTGAAGCGGATAAGAAACGCGAAGACATGAAGTGGTTGGTCCAGACATTGGACATGTTATCAAACCACTGCTCAGAGTTAGAAGCTCAAGAGGAACAAATGAAGCTCGAAAATCTAATAGCCAGATATAAAAACCTAATTCCTACAATAGAGATCACGATGATAAAGACTGAGACTTACACGAGATGCTACACGTATCGCAGAGAAGTCCATGAGGTCATATGCATACTAGAAAGTGCTAAACAACAGGCCATGATCGAACCAGAACCACAGTCTTTGCAGCATGTGGAACAGCTAGTTCTCGAACAGCAAGCAGCAGTGCAAAAGCTTGACCGACAACGGCCTTCTGTTATGTCTATGCTGCAACGAGGCAAGGAACTCATTAAGGATGCCAACGCGCCTGCGTTCGTCAGAGAGGATGTAAGAAACCTTGAAAGCGGTTGGAATACCGCTTATGAATCCTCCACTGACAGGCTACACAAATTACGTGACACCCAAAAAGTATGGTCTAACTATGAATATCAAAAGGAGGAATTACTCTCAGATCTTGACAAGATCGAGAGCTATGTTGCACATCCAGGATTGGAACTTGGTGTTAGTAACATTGGACGTGAACTTCAAGAAACTAGAACTATTAATACTGACATCGAAAAGGCAAAATGTGAAAGACTGCCTCAGTTGCAACAAGCTTATGCTGAGCTACGATCTTTGACAGCAAACAAACCCAAGCCAGTGATCGAAAAAGATCTTCAAACTATTGAACGTAAATTGGACAGAGTAGAAGATGAAGTACATACTAAGGTAGAACACCTTGAAAAGTTCAATGAAGAATGGGTAAAGGTTGAACGTAAGCTCGAACATGTAAGAGAATGGATAAAGAAAGAAAGTCCAGCTCTGATCTCACAAATACAATCTGAAAATATCACTCCCGAAGAACGTGTGGTGAAATCGCAAGCTCTACAAAAAGTAATTTCTGAAAAGTTGGAGACTATTAGACATGTTGCCGATCAAGGAACAAAACTAGCAGTTGAACATAGAGTCCAAGATGCCAACCGACTTAAAGGTGAAGTGGCATTGTTAGAAAAAATGATGGCTGACCTTCAAAGATCGACTGAACATCAGACTAAAGTAGTAGAGCATGACCTGGCTAGCTGGCAGAAGTATCAAAAAGGGGTATCGGAGATCAAGCCATGGATAGAAGAAGCTGAGATTAAACTTGGTAATGTACCAAAGCCCACGACCTTGCCTGAAGCACAACAACTACAGCAGCAGTCGCGGGCATTAATCACAGATTGTGACAAACAACTAATGAACCTACAAATCCTTTCTAGTGTCAGTCATCAACTGTCGGGCAAGACCAGTGCTCCTGATGAAGTAGATGCTATTCATTCGAGATGGGCTGTGGTCCACGATCTCGCAGATCAATGGCATAACAAATTGGACAAATTAGTTGGTAATTGGGAAAATTTCGAACGCGAGGCTGAAAAACTAGAAACTTGGATAGAAAATGGCGAAAAACTACTAAGCAGTCGCAGTGTTTCTGTTGATACACCCCAAGTAGAGAAACTTGACAGAGAACTTAATAAACTCAAGTCGTTCGGCAATGAGATTTCGCAGCAACAAGCAAGGATTATTAGTTTATCACAGACTTGTGATAATATTTGCCACAACATACAGCCTGAAGGCGCAACTTTATTGAAAAACAAAGTATCTGATATCAAACAAAGAACAAACTCACTAGCTGAGACTGTCAGATCTAAAGTGAACGAGCTTTCGGACAAGATTATCGTCCGACAAGAATTCATGACCAAATTACATAATTTCGACAACTGGATTACCGATTTCAGAAGAAAAACTGAAAGTTATGATCAGATTGGTGCTGACAAAGTTGAACCGACACTGCAGTCGATGCATGTACTTTCTCAGGAGCATGCGGCCAAAGAACCAGAATTCACTGATATTTATAACGAAATCAAGAATATGACACTTTCATCCCATCCCGATGAATCCCGGTCTTTGAGTGAGACCTACTCAAATATAGCTCAGCATTACCAAGTAATAGAGAACAATATTCAACAAAACAAGGCTGTTTTACAAAAATGGTCTGAGTTGTTGAACTGGTACGACGACACAAAGCAACAACTTGGTCATATTCAATACCAAATTGATGGACCTAAACTAACACCTGAAAGTTACGAAGTTTTGCGACAGGAACTTGTAAATATTATCACAAAGGTACCAGAATGGAAGAGTCACGTTGCGTTGTTAGATGGACCTTCAAGAGTCAAAGTTACAGATCAAAATACGGGTCGTATTATGTCACCGACTAGCTTAGTCAAGGAAGTGGAAATGAAAGCTGATGCGTTGCTGAACCAAGTAACTACTAAGAGAGATCTCGTACAAAAGGTTGGTGCAAGATGGGACAAGTTTAATGTTCAACACAACGCATTAAGCCAAGTATTGCATGGAATCCAATCTGTTCTCAATGATATGGCTCAAAAACCAGTTCCATTAACTGAAGCTACTATTCAAGATATGACGGAACAACTTGACAAACTTGACGTTGAAATGAGAGACAAACAATCAATACGTAAAGAGTTGAGAGAAGAAGGGTTACATTTGATGAGAGAAGATCAACCCAATATGGGCACAATTCAAAATGCGCTGTCTGCAGCTGACAATAATTGGGACCAAATTGTAAATTCGATGAGAGACACCAAAAACAAATATATTTTACTGTCATCGACACTTCAAGAACTGAAAAACTTTACAGTTGCATTCGATAGGGAAATGAATAGAGCTGAACAACTGTACAATGATTCTAAAGATGCCCCGAATGATTACATGCAAACTGCTCAAGCCTTAGAAAAGGCCAAGAAATCGTATGAAATATTGAAAAGATCAAAGGGGCTCTTAGATCAGATGGATGTTATTAAGCAATCTATATTAAAACAAGCTTCGACTCTGGGAGGTTTCGACACTAGCCCACTTGAAGAAGCATTTTTGACTTCGCAAACTCATTGGGAGAAAGTTAATGATGCTGCTATCAAGAGAATACAAGATTTAGAATCTCAGCTTATTGTTTGGAGACAAATTGATGACACAAAGAATCAAGTTTTAACTTGGCTCAGTGAAACTGGACAAAACTTATCTAATGCTTGTGACAACTTAGAAATTCGATTTGGTCAAAATCATCTTACTAAATACAAAGAAGAATTGCCATTGTACTTGTCATTGAAAAACAGTATTAAGGCTAAATGCGAACAAATTACGAACTTAAACAAAAACATACCAGTAGAACAAGTATCTTCTATAGTCAACTACTTGGAATCTGAATTTGAAGCTTTGCAGAGTCTGGCTGAGAATTTGGAAAGTGCGGTGTCGTCTTTAGAAACTAAAGAGAACAAATTGAAGGATAACATTAAGCGACTATCGGACAGTGTCAGCAAAATCAGAGATGATATAATTAAATGTGATGACATGACTGGTGATAATGCTAAGATCTTAGACCGTCTTAAGAAGTGTCAAGCCTGTAAGGCAGAGTTACAGAACTTAAACGATGAAATTGATAACTTGACACAAAATGTCTCTGAAATGAATGCCAACTATCCAGGGTTCTATGAATCACTAGTACCAAAAGAATTGAGTTCTTTGCAAAAACGTTTTGAAAGTGTAGTGATACACGCTAATAAGACAGAAACTACCCTTCTGACATTCTTACAAAAACTATTCACTGATAAATTGGCAATGTTTAACAGGAATCTAAAGATCCTTGATGATAAGACAAGGTGGTGTATGCCTGATGCAAGCAGTGACAAATACAACTTGGAAGTGAAAGCAGCCGCCTTGGCTGATGTTGAAAATGGTATTGCTGAGTGTCAGAGCAAGGTGAAGGAATTAAAGGAAGCCAGCGAAATTCTCAAAGTAGTCGCGGAGCCTGCATGTGCTCAAGAAGCCGCTGTACAAACGAACAAAGCACAGAAAAACTTAGAAGTTTTGTCAGCTAATTGCGACGAAATTAAAAACAGACTTAAAGAGAACATTGACGCATGGCAAGATTACGAAACTTTATTGGAAAATGTGTCTGAGTGGCTCAAGGACAAAGAAAATACTGTTAGACTGGAATCTGCCAATCTCTTGAATATGAATGACATTGACAGTAAAATAGTTGACATGCAGAATCTTAATCAAGAAATTCAAAACTACAACGGTGAAATTCAGAAACTGACTGGCATTGGAGAGACAATTATGTCTCGGAATCCAGATTCAAGAGTTCTGCAATACATAAATCACTTAGTGACTAGATATCAAACTGTAGGCAAATTCATGGAAAATCACTTACACCGATTACAAGAATTGAAAAACAATAAGACTAAGTATGACAAGTCTATTGCAGACTTTAAAAATTGGCTTCAGGATGCAAATGGCAAGATCAAAGACTTAGCGGTAATGAGCAAGCATGCTAAGCCGACCGCAGCTGATTTAGCTCAGGTTAAGCAACTCAATGACAACAAAGAAGTTGGACAGAAATTGCTAAATACTGCCATTGAATCAGGCGAAGCTCTTTTCAGTGGAATAACTCCAGAAGGCCGAGAACAAATCAGAAATGAATTAAGAGCATTAAGAGACTATTTTGAGGATTCTGTCGATTCATTAAACAATGTCATCAAGGATATTGAAACAACAATCAATAAGAGATCATCCTTTGATGATACTTTCAATCAAGTACAAAAATGGATCAGCGATAAAGAAAAAGAGTTAGGAGAGTTCAAATTGTGCCCGACGCTACCAGAAAAGAAAGCTCAATTGCATGCAAACAAGATAATGCATCAAGAAGTTGATTTACATCAGTCAATGCTTTCACAATTAACTGAAAAGATCAAATTAATGCCAGATGACGAAGCAGAAAAAAGCTTGTCAAAGACCATTGATAGGTACAAGGGCATGTCTAAAGAACTTGAAAAGAGAATAGCAACATGTGAGTCGCATGTGGCAGATCATGAAAAATATGTTCAGTCCTTTGAAGATTGTCGTGATCGCCTCAATCACATCATTGCTGAAAATAGTGTGTTAAACTATGGAGTTGTTACACTGAAAGAAGACGTCGACTCTAAAATTGCAGCTATAGGCAAAGTAACTGACAAGGCTACTGAAATTGAAGCCATTCTTGATGGCTTAAAATCGCAATTAAATGTTGTCTTACAAACCACAAGCTCGAACGGCCACCCTGTTCTAATTAGTGAATATGAACAGCTTCAAACTACGTGGGATCAGTTTGCAACACAATGCAAAGAACAAGATAAGAAACTCAAAGAAACCTTGAAGCAGTGGAATGAAAGTCAAAAGACATTAGATGAATTAGAAGAATGGCTTAAGCTCAAAGAAAATCAAGTCAGAGATCAAAGCTTGAAGAGCAATCTGGAAGCTAAAATTAGCCACTTACAGAAAGTTAAGGAGATTCAGGGTGAGTTAGCAGCACGAAGCCCTGAGTTCACCGCTTTGACCAGCAACAAACAAGTTGCAAGTGAATCTGATCTTACAAACAAAACTTCCAAATTGGCTACAAGATACCATACATTAAACAACCTAGTCAATGAAATAATTTCTAAATACGAAGTATTCGTGTCAGAACATCAAGCATTCGAAAATGAGTACGACAATATGGAAACTTGGCTAGCTGGAATGCTTGGTGAGTTACAAGATCTCAATGAAATCGTTGGTGATTATGCTGTTTTACAAGAAAAACAAAATAAGGCTAAAGAACTTTATGAAACCAGAAATAAGAAGACACCAGTATTTGAAGAATTCCTGAGCTTAGGAGAGAAACTATATACACATACAAGCCCAGATGGCCGTGAAGTTATCCGCCAGAAAATTAGAAAGATCAGGACTTTATGGGATAGCTTTGGTGACAGCTTCCAAGAAACTGTTAACAAATTAGACCAGTGTCTCTTACAGTTCTCAGACTTTTCCTTGGCTCAAGAACAGCTAACTAAATGGCTCAAAGACGTTGAAAAGGCAATGCAACGCCACACTGAACTTAAGGCATCACTTGAAGAAAAGAAAGCTCAATTGCAAAATCACAAAATAATGCATCAAGAAATAATGACCCATCAACAACTAGTCGAGTCTGTTTGTGATAAAGCACAACAATTAGTGGATCAAACACATGATGCATCGTTGAATGTTTACTTACAATCTATAAAACAACTGTTCCAAAATATCGTCACTAAATCTCAGAACCTTCAAGACAACTTAGAAGATTGTGTAAAGCGCCACGAAGATTTAGTACGTCTTATCCAGCAGTACAAAGATTGGTTAGGTTCCCAGTCAGAAAAATTACTTGACATTGAAAATGCAACTGGAGAAAAACCAGAAATCATTAGGAAACTCCAGTCCGCTGTTGCATTAAAGGATATTGAGAAAATCGGATCCAGCAAGTTGGATGAAATCAGAAATGTTTTCTCTGCTGTTAGCAAAAGCACGTCAGAATCTGGTAATGCGGCAATTAAAGCTGAAATTGACAATTTACTAGATCAGTTGCGCAATGCCGTTCAAAGTATTGGAACGTCAGAGCAAAAATTGAAACATACTTTAGAAATTTGGAATAAGTTTGATGTCTCCATAGAATCTATTACTGAATGGCTTAAAAATATGGAATCTAAATGCAGAGATCAAAGTCTTTGTTCAACATTGCAAGAAAAAGAAGCGCAACTAAAGAGATATGTAGACCTTAGAAATGAGATCAATGCCAAGGAGAAAGAGATTGATGCATTTGTTGATGAATCTCATAGCCTTATCCAATTAAGTGGAGTGGAACGCTTGAAACCACTCGTGACTCAAGTGAATAGTAGATACCAACAACTTCACTTGATTTCTAAAGACATAGTCAACCATTGGTCTGAATTGGTTGGTGATCACAGAAAGTATGTTCAACTGAAAAGTGAATTCGAAACGTGGCTCAGGCCGTTGGAAGAACAACTATCACAAATGGTCACAAAGGAAGACAAGCTTAGCATTGAAAGCAAAGGAAACAAGCTGCAGGTATTTTTAATGGAAAGAGATAATGGTGAGCACAAAATAGGAATTCTGACAAGTGCTGGAGACAAAGTTCTCCCTGAAACAGCAGCTAACGGCAGAGAGAATATCCGATCTGAAATAAGAGATCTTAGGGAACGGTGGGATAAACTGAACGACACAATCCTCCAGCAACAGAAAGAGTACGAATCTCAGACATTGCAATGGTCAAGTTACCAGGACGTACTTCAGCAAACTTTGTCGTGGTTGGATGAAAAAGAAAAGATTGTTGAAAATGAAGAAAAATCTGTGCTCAATTCCGCTCAAGAAATAAAGTCAAAATTACTTAAAAACAAGACTTTGTTACAAGAAATTTACTCACACAAAAGGGTTATTGAAACAGTTACCGAAAAAGCTAAATCGGTAGCTGCTAACTTACACTCTGGGAAAGATGAGGGTGATGATATGTCTAAAATAATTCAATCTGTTTGGGACAGATACAACGCATTAACAAACAGGTTGTCTGGGATCATCGATAAGCACGAGAAAACATTCGAGATATATCAACAATTCTCAGACCAACAAAAATCTCTACAAGACTATCAGAAGCATCTGTGGGATCGTCTTCATTTACTGTCAGACTTCACTGGAAATAAAGCAGCTCTACAAAGTAAACTGGCTAAAATTCAAGAGCTTCTGGATGCGATACCAACAGGCAACAACAAGCTGAAGATTTTATCAGACTTGATTGAAAACAGTTCATCTAAATTATCACCAAGAGGGCGTGAAGGTATGTCCAGAGAGTTGGCATTACTCAAGGCTGATTTAGAAAAGTTCACTGCGACAGTGCATGAAGTGAAGCGAGGTATTGAAGATAAGATACAGCAATGGATTGAGTTCGAAAGTGCAAATGACAGGTTACAGCACTGGCTAACAGATACTGAGATGAGCTTGAAAACATACACTCCCAAGGCGACTCTAGATGAGAAAATTGATCAACTCAATAAATATCAGGTATGTAACATTTCTATTTGTTTAATCATTCATTTATCTCAATATGAAACCAAATATTTATTTTACTAAACAGGAATTGAGTAAAGCGATTGATAATCACGAAAATGATTTGAGCGCTGTCATAAGACTCGGGGAAGCTTTGGATCAAGTAAGATGATCAAAATGAAAAAACTTTATACCCTCGGCACTGTAGGATAGTCTAATTTTCAGTAGATACTTTATTAATTACACGATAGCCTTTTGCTATATCAAAGTCTAACAAAAACTACATTACTACTTACTCATAATGTATTAAATACATAATATTTCTACTCTGTTTCAAACTCGTATTTTAATATAATTACTAATTTTAGTGGCGATGGTTAATGGTATACTTTTAAGTAGTTCTGACAATGTGACGGTTTTTAAAATGAACTTTAGCATCAATCTAAGTGACGATTACTAATAGTAGTTGTTGTAGTTAGTTTAAAAATTTGTTGTGTATTTCTTAACAAATATAATAGTAAACATTGATTCTTTCAGGCTATTTTGGCTAACTTGAAGAAGACTGAAAATGACGTAGACAAATTAAGCGATGAATTCAGTGATTTGATCGAAAACTGTAACGACACCAGGATCACAATGAACTTGCAACAAATGACTTCTCGATTCCAATCAGTACAGTCGACAGCCAAAGAGTTGGTGAAGAAGTGTGAACAAGCTGTCAACGATCACAGTGCGTATCAAGAGAAATACAACCAATGTACAGACTGGATTAAGTCAGCACAGCACAAGTTTGAAGAATGTAATAAGAAAATCTCTAGCACACCAGAAGGCATAAGTGCCAAGCGAGAAAGTCTTAACGATTTGCTTAGCCAACGACGCAATGCTACTCTGCTTGTGAACAACACAGTCGAACTAGGAGAAAAGTTGTATCCTTCTACATCACCTGAAGGTAAAGAATTGATTGAACAACAGCTTCAAGACATCCAACAATCTATTGACAACTTGTATGATAATATCACAAAGGCCGAAAGAGATTTGGATTCTGAATTGAACAAGTGGTCATCATTTGATGATAATCTGAAGACTGTGCAACAATGGTTGTCAACGGCCGAGAAGAACTTACCAAAAGAAATTGAATTAAAGGCTACATTGGATGAAAAGCGTAATCAATTAAACGTCTACAGGACATATCTTCAAGATGCTATCGCCCACCAACAAGACATAGCTAACTTAGAAGCTCGTGCTCAAAGCTTACCAGACATTACAAAAGATATTACAAAGGAAATAAACCAACTGAAACAAAGACATGAGACCATACTTACACGAGCGAAATCATTTGTTGAACAATATGAAGCTATTGTTAATAACCATCAACAATACACTAAAGCGGTTATGGACTTGCAAGAATGGGTAGAAGCTACACATAACACTGCGCAGCTGTGGGGAGATGTTAATTTAGAGCGCGTGGCACTAAGTAGCAACTGTGAGAAGCTGAAATCTTTGCAATTAAGTTTGCCAGAAGAGAAGGCTCGTATTGACAAGATACGTTCCATAGGAGAAAAAGTTCTTCCTGGTACTATTAGTAATGGGCAAGCCAATATTAGAAACCAAATTGATGCTTCTCATCAAGAATGGGAAGGCTTAGTTTCGTTTATTAACAAAACTATTGAATCTCTTGAAAATAAAATACAGCAATGGAATGAGTATGAAAACATGAAAGACCAATGCCTAGCCTGGATTAGGAATACTGACACACAGATTCATGCTGTTGACTTAAAAGCGACATTACAAGAAAAGCAGGAGCAGTTTAAGAAGTTCCAAGAGTTACAAGGGGAAGTACGTGCTAAGGAACTTGAAATCGATAATATAACTGAAAAAGCACAGCATTTATACACGGGAGTGCTTGGGCCTCGAGGTTCACAGATATCCGATCTTGCAGTTAAATATCAAACTCTGTCTCAAAAAGTTAAGGACTTAACTAATAGGTGGCAACAGTATGTTAAAACCCACCAAGAGTTTGCTAGTAATGTTACTGAATGTTCCCAATGGATCGAGGAACTAAGAGACAAGTTGGACTTCTGTGCTGACCTCAGCTCTAGTTCTCAAGATGATTTAGAAACGAAATTAGTTTTGATACAGAATTTGTTGCTAACAAAAGATGAAGGATTTACGAAAGTGCAATCACTTGTTGAACTTGCGCAGAATGTAATGGCAAACACTGCACCTGCTGGCCATGAAGCAATTAATAACTCGCTTATTGCCTTACAAGAACAATGGTCAGCATTATTGTCCAGAATGATTGAAACAAAGAGCATGTTAGATGATTCTGTGACTAAATGGGCTGGGTTCTTAGAACAAATTCAGTTGATCGAGAAGAGCAACAACTGGCTTGAGAATATGTTAGCTGAATTAACTCCATATGAGTCCTCCATGACTGATAAACGAGGTCAACTGGAAAAACTAAAGGAAGTTGAAGAAAAAGCCCGATGCGATCGTCTTGATGTCGACACATTGAAAGCTAAGGCCGCTGAAATGATAGCTAGTGGTCAGCAAAACCAAGCAGCATCGAAAGCTCAAGAAACGCTTAATAAGTTCGATACACTTTACGACCGAGTCAAGAAACTGCTTGCTGACCGAGAAGAGCAGTACAAGGACCACAGGCTATACAAAGAAGCGCATGATGAACTTATTCAATGGTTGACCAGAGCTCGAGAAAAGGTTCCATCTTTGAAGTCTAAGCCATTGAGCGACAAATTAGCAATTGAGAATTCAGTAGCGCCTCTTGATGCGTTGATAAATAAACAAGCTCAAGGTGAACTGTTGCTGGAACACCTGCAACATACTGGAGAGGTGGTCCTTGCTAGTACTTCACCTGAAGGACAAACAACAATCAAAAATGAAATGAAAGCATTGAAAGAAAGCTTTGACGATCTTTTCAATGAAATTAAACAACAAAAGAGCCAATTAGAGGAAACTGTTAATCAATGGCGCGAATACAAAGATGAATATGAAAGGCTTTCAGATTGGTTACAACAAAAAGAGATTCTTATTAAAAACCATAAACTGGCATTGCTTGGAACTGCAAAAGAAAAAGGCGCCCAGGTTAATGAAGTCAAAGAAATTGTTGATCAATTAAATAAAGGTAAGAAAGATATTGAAACGTTCAATGCTTCAGCATCGGGTCTATTGGCGTCACATCTTGATACATATGTTAACAACCAATTGAGGCATCTGAATTCAAGATATCAAGTTTTAGTCAATATGGCTAATGATGTTCTGAAGAAAGTAGAAACTAATTATGAACAACATCAAAACTACGATGAAAACTATGCCAAAACTAAGAAATGGATCGATGACGCCTGGGAAATCACCCGCAGTGGCAGTGAAGCTGGCAGCAATAGCAGTAAGGAAGCATTACAAAAACGTTTGGAACAAATAGAAGACTTGTTGAAACGTCGCGAAGAAGGCCAGAATTTAGTACATGCTACTGTAAATAGTGGTGAAAAAGTTCTAAGAAACACAAGATCTGACGGTAAAGACAGAATTAACACTGAACTCAAAGAATTGCAAAACGAATGGGATCGTTTAGTCAAAAAGATGACGACAGCTAAAGTTCATTTAGAGACGGCCCTACTGCAATGGGCCGATTATAGCTCAAGTTATTCACAACTCCAGCAATGGATACAAGACAGAGAAGCAAAACTTCAAGAAGTGTGTGAGCAGAAAGTCGCCAAGTCAAAGAAAGGTCAAGACCGTCTTGCTGGTCTTACAACAGGCCTCAGCCTTGGCGAAAGAAAAGCTACACTCCGTCAAACAAACAATATTGTTCAAGATATCGTTTCGTTTGAACCCATGATTCAGTCTGTAACTTCTAAGGCTTCGGAACTTATGCAACAAGCTCCGGCATCTGAAATCACCAGCAAATATGAAACGCTATCTAAACAAGCTAAAGACTTATATGAAAAACAAAAAGAAACAGTTGAACAGCACCAGGCCTTTATTGACGCTGGTTCAGATTTCGTCCAATGGATTAGGGCTGCTAAGGAAAGGTTAGGCAAGTGCTCTGATGCAACCGGAGATAAGGAATTTTTAAGTAGTAAGATATCTCAACTTAAAGTTTTGGAAAGTGAATTACCGGAAGGACAAGCAAAATTACAAAAAGCTCTAGAACAAGGAGAGATATCATGTGCAGTAGCAGATGAGGAAGACAAAGAAGAAATAGAGGAAGAAGTAGCTCTTATGCAAGAGGAATACGATACCTATGTGTAAGTTTATTTTTGTTGATATTTGATTTACTATTGTCTTATAAAGTCGGTTGTACAAACACTTAATTTACATTTCAGTGAGCAGCTGAAAAACACCAAAGCATTGATTGAAGGAGGTATTGTAAAATGGACTGAATATGAAGAGCAGTACAAGGAAGCCTTGGATTGGTTGTCAAAGACTGAAAAACTAGTACAATCATTTAATAAATTGCAAAATAACTTGGAGCAAAAGAAAGTGGTTCTGGAGGAATTCCAGGTAAGGTTTATTACAAGTTTTTGTATTTGAAAAATCTGTTAGTTATTACATTATGTTTTAATTAATTAACTTCTTTCAGGGACATCTGCAAATGTTATTCGACTGGCAAGCTGAACTTGACAAGCTCAACGTTCACGCGCAGACTTTGTTGGAAACATGTGCAGACACCAGGATTTCGAACGGAATTACTCAAATCACAACAAAATACAATGCTTTACTGTCTCTCGCTAAAGAAGTTATGAAGAGACTTGAACTCCATTACCAGGTAAGCAAACAGATTAGAATAATATCTGTTTTATTTTTTTCTTTAATAACGTGAACAAATTTAAATAAATGTTTATTTGTTAAGGAACATCAACAACACAATGCCCTGTATGGAGAATGCCAAGATTGGCTTGACAGAACTCGCGAGAAACTTAACCAGTGTGCTGAAATACCAAACACTTTACAAGAAGTTAACAACAAGCTTAACACCGTTAAACTTCTACGACAGTCTTTGGAACAAGGTCAGAATAAACTAAGATACTTGTTGGAATTGAAAGAGAAGGTCATTATGAACACGGAACAAGCAGGCGCAGCTAAGATCCAGGAAGACACAGATAACCTAAAACAAGAGTTTGACAAATTGATTGCTGATTTACAAGACGTCCGCAATAAATTGACCACCAGAGCTGGACAGTTTGACGACATTTCAAAGGTAATGTATTACTTCAAACTAATATTCAAACATTTTTAACGTAAATTGGTATAAATCAACTGTATTCTTTTTTTGATTTCAGATCCACAAATTACTGGTCGAATGGCTAGATGATATTGACCAGAAAATACAATCAGACGATTCTTTGATGAATGACCTATCAGAGAAGAAGGCTAAGCTGGAGAAGTTCAAAACATTCAACAGGGATATTGATTCTCACAACGATCTCGTTAAAAAGCTGACTGAAAAGTTACAAGAAGACGGATCTTTGAAATCAAAAGAAATTGAAGATACGTTAAAACGCTACGATAACATAAGGAAGACAGTTAACGAGATGATCGCTGTAAGTATTTTAAATTCAAAAATACTTAAATTAACAAGCTTATTTTTATTTTAACATTATTTGATACTGATTAAACGGATTTTTTCAGAAACTCGAAGAATACGTTAATTCCCACATACAGTACAAAGAATCGTACGACAACTTCTATGATTGGGTTCGTAATTGCAAGATAGAAATCCAGCAATGCTCTGATTCTCACGGAGAAAAAGAAGAAGTTCAAAAGAAACTAAAGAATGTGAATAAAATTATTGAATCATTGCCTAAGGGAGAAGCTCTTTTGAAGAAAACAATCCAACATAGCGAAGCTGTATTAAAAACAACTGGTAATGAAGGAAAGGATAACATCAATCAAGAAATCAAACAGTTGCAGATTGAGTGGGAGAACTTGCAACAGATTTGCAAGGACACCAAGAAGTTGCTAGAAAAGTGTCTGTCCGCTTGGTCAGATTTCCTGGAAACATCTGAGAAGATGAGCAAATGGGTCAAAGATTTCGATAACAAGCTTAAAGGAGTACAGAAAGTAGACAAAATCACACCTGAGCATCTCGATAAGTGTCGCGAACTTTTGGCAGAAGCTCTTAGAAACAAACATGTTTTGGAAGAGCTTAACGATAGGTGTGAGAACTTAATGGAGTTGAGCGCCTGTGCATGGGTCCGCGACAAGACAGTCACTTTGCAAACTGAATACACGACTCTCCTGACTAAGATACAAGGCCTTGTTTCTAACGGAGAAAAGAACCTATCTGATCATACAGAATTCATTAAGGCCAAGGAAGATCTACAGAAATGGCTAGAAACAGCTCACGGAACAGTTCAAGATTCGATAGGAGTAGGTGACATTGATACCACAAAGGATAAACTTGAAACCATCAAGCTTGTAAGCAACAGAATGACTGAAGGACATCACTTGCTCGTCGTCCTTCAAGAGGCATTCAAGAAAGCTCTGAACAACACTCCCCCTGAAGAACAAGATGGTTTACGAAATGACGTTAAACTTTTGCAGGAGAGCTGGGACCAACTTAAGATTGACTTGAATTCCATTACAGTACAACTGAAGGCTGCTATTGGAAAATGGGAAGACTTTGAAGAATCTAAGAATAAAATGAACCAATGGATTAAGGATACTGAACAGAACTTGGATAAAGTTCCTCCTACCAGTGGCGAGCTTGGTGAAATGAAGACTTTATTAGAAAAATACAAGCACATAGAAGATGAAATCGACAATAAGAAACCAGAGCTAGAAAGGCTAAAGAGTGAAGCCGCTGAACTGAGTAGCTGGGCAAAGAAACCAGCAGTCAAAGAATCTGTTACAGAAATCGAGAAAAAATGCAATGCATTGCGCGCTAAGTGCGCAGCAAAGAAAGCTGAACTCGAGTCTGATATCAAAGACTACAATCAATACCACCAATCGCTACAAGACACTGAAAAATGGCTGTTACAGATTTCATTCCAACTTATGGCTCATAATTCCCTGTACATTTCTAACAGGGAGCAAACAGAAGAACAGTTGGCTCAGCACGCTGTTTTGTTAGATGACATTCAGAAGTACAGATCCACTCTTGACGACCTGGAAGCTAAAGGTAAAGCGCAGATTGAGAGGTACCAAGCAACGGCGCCATCAATCAAGGACACTGTAGGAAAACAGCTGAAGAACGTTAACGACAGTCACAAGTCTCTGTTAGCCACGGCGCTTCAGATCGAACGCCGGCTACGCGAGGGGCTTGCCAAATTCAAGGAATACGAAGACACTCTTGAAAGCATTTTGAACAACTTAGATGAGTGCGAGCCTGCTATCACCGAGCTTGATGTACCGGTCGACGGCCTGTCGCACGGTCGTGAGCTTCTGGACAAAGCGAGGGTAAGTTGCCTATTTTATTCTTTACGAAACCATTTCAGAAGCAGTTACCTACTTTAAGGTCTTTGTTTTCTCGATTATACAAAAAAGAAAATCGACAGTTGAAATAGTTGTTACACTTTTGGAGGTAGTGTGACAAAGCTACTCAATCTATACGTTTGGGACCGTCTTTTTAATTTCAGCAATGCAACATCAGTTTTATTGCGTGTAACTTACCTACTTCATCCATAGGCTCTGCACAACCGTCTCCAAACGGAAAAGAGTCGTCTTTCGGCGGCGGTAGCGGCGTGCTCGGCGGCCGCCGCGTCGGTGTCGCGACCGTCATCGCCCGCCGACTCCGCGCCGCTTCCGATCCCGCCGCGTGAACTACACGTGCGCGCGCGCCTCGAAGACCTCATCGACCAGGTACTCAACGCCTCCGCTAAGATCCTCGCTTCGGATGTTCTGACCTCCTTCTAACTGTGTGCTGGAATTTTTGGTTTTATTAATAAGTGAAAGAGCAATGAGAACGAGTTTATTTCGTATGGTGATATCGATGGTGAACGTGAATATTTACACAAATCTAAAACGATGTTCTTAAGTCACCGATAATATGCAGTAGAAGTTTTGATTGACACTTTGCCGTCGCCATCTTTTTGCATCAGTCCTTCTCATGCCGAGATGCTACGAGCGTGCGTGAGTGATAGACAAAGCCAAATGTACGGATATCACGTTGCGAAATAGGCTCGTTTTAAAGTTAAAAAGTAGGTTTATTAATTAATGAATTCCTTTTCTAATAAAGGGATTTTAAGCTATTTATTAGAAATTACAGTCTTAAGGAATAATTTATAATAGTAGAGGTGTTTTAAACATCACCATAGCTCGATTTTAATTACTACCGTACTATCTAGCGCATGTTATAACTGTGCCTTAAGAAACATGAGTGTTGTTCGTAAAGTGTTCAATTTAGATTTAATTAATTTATAAAGGTTCTAGTTTGCCAGGTCGACAAAAAGAACAAAACCAACGAGTTATAAAGTGCCTGAAGTAAGACATTGATTTACGTACAAGTTAGTTTGATGAAGTTGTAGATAGAGAAACTAGTGTAGTTAGTAAATAAAGATTAATGTAAAGGCTTCGTCGTTGGCAATGTATTTTTGTGCACCTGGTACTACCGCTGATTCAAGATGATTAATATTAAACAAACAAACAAAACATATTGCTCATTAAACCATAAAAGTAACAATTACAAGATATTTAAAGAGAATCGTCTTGACTCAGAATGAATGTCACTTTGTTTGTACGAGAAATAGGCACTTCACTGTTCTGTGTGATTCACTCATTATCACGAAATGCACGCCATTCAAGAAATTATAGTGACAATGTATGATAATGTATGAATTTGAAACACAATGATAACCATTAACAAACAATTAACAAAGTTTTCTTGGATCGGACGAGACAAAAGTCTGTTGTTCAATTTGACAAAATAATCTTCTTCTGTTAGGTGCTCGTTCATCCAATTTTGCACAACATGCAGTCTCAAAACGATATTTAAATAGCAAGGTAAATAATATCTTTTTAAGACTGTGTGTACAATAACTAGCACTGTGTGTTGTTGCCCGTGTGTTGTATGGTGCATGGTGTGTTCTAGAAGCGAGTTAGCGATGTCGGCAGCGCGCCGCGCATCCACGAAATTCTTAAAAACCTGGAGACACCAGAGTTCAACGAAAAGCTAACGGCTTTCGAACAAAGGGTAAGGCTTTCGCTTGCTTAAAGATAATCCTACGAGATACTTAAAACAGCAACTTAGTTGTTTATTAATTTCACGAACACTAAAAACGCTCGCACCGCATTCGGTTTGCATTTGTGGTTTGGAATCTTTCACGAACAGTTTGATTTCTAAAATTATTAATCTGTAAATACAATCTGTACAAAAAATGAGTGTGCGACATGTGATGTCGAGAAAAACCGTGACGAAGTTATATCGTATTGGTGATAGATTAATAAAAAGTGTGAATATTCAGGTACAAAGCCACTTGGAAACGCTGGGTGATGCAGTGCACGGAATGGAAGAAGCTATGAAGCAAGTGGATGAGATCCAGGAATGGATAAATGTGCACAACGCGCTGGCCCGCGACTGGCTCGCCAACCCGTCCAAGCTGCGCCCCGAGGCGGCCAAGCAAGACATGGCTGCCATGAGCGACGCACTGGTCTCCTTGGGAGAGAAGAGAAACAGGTTGCTCACTGAAATTCCTACAGAAGGTATGTTTATGTGCTGTTAGAACTAGATTTTTATTTTAAGGTAACCTAACAACATAACTCTAAATTGATAATACTTTTTAGGGCTAGAAGACGAAATCAATCTCGAAGAAGAATTAGATAACTTGGAAGTGAACATTGTCAAAGCTATTGAAAGAGAAAAGGGCAACCAAGCAATCATTGATGACTACAGACACAAGTGTCAAGAAATCCACGATTGGTTTGACTCTGTTCTAAAGAAGATGAGTCTAGCTGACAAGGGCTCCGGTCTCTCGTGTGTTCAAAAGTTGAGTGCGCTGAAAGACTTGTCGGCTGAATTCGATCAGTCTGGCAAAGATAAGGTCGACAACATCAAGACCATCGGCTCTAAAGTCATCAATATTGTCAGCAACTTAGAATCACAGCAAGTTGAGGAACAGGTTCGTAATTATTAAATTATCATTTTTATTCTTCTTACCAAAACATATTATTATAAAAAAGAGCTTACTATTAAATAATAAACTAATCGTTTGTAATATTTTTAGATGAAATCCGTGGAGCGAAGGTATAACGACATCGCAAAACGCATACAACGTAAATTGCACATGCTTGAAATCACATACAAAGCGATTGATGGAACGAAGAGCGAAGTCAACGCACAGAATGAATGGATGCAAAAAGAAATTGACAACATATTACATCCGGAACCATTAAGCTACGACAGCAAGTCAGCTAAAGAGCGTCAGAAGCAGATTGCAAACTTGTTGAAAGAAACCGATGGAAAGAAAACTGTCATTGACTCGTTAGAAAAGAAAGTCAGTACCATTCAGGCTGAGCTGGAACCATCGGAACAAATGCAATTAGAGTCTGAACTATCTGAATTAGCATCTAAGCAAAAGCAACTGGCTTCTTTGATCAAACAGGAAATTGAAAGATTAGGTGGCTGTACTGAGGACAGGAAGAAACTAGAAAATGATATCGAAAAAGCTAAGAACTGGCTGAAAGCAAAACTTGCAGAGATCAAAAAGTTAGGTGGACCAGTACCATTGGAAGCTGCAAAGGTAGAAAAAGAAATTGCCGTACACAAGAAACACCAAGGTGAACTCTCAGACTTCCACAATGACATTCTAGCTGAAGTTATGCGTCAAGGTAACGCAGTATCCAAAGACTGCTCACCTGAAGATCGCACTAAACTACAAGCTATTTTAGAAGATTTGAACAAGACCTACACTTCTGCTAAAGTAGATATTGATGATAAATTGTCGGCATTGAACAAACTTTTGCAAGGAAGAAATGAGTTCGAGGCTGATGTTGCTAAGTGTCAGAGCTGGCTCAATGAAGCTGAAGTTGCTGCTACTCCTGAACTTAGAACTACAAGTCTACAATTATTAGAAGAACAGCTAGCCAAGTTTGAGAAACTAAGTAAGGAGGCAGTAGATGTCGATAAGAACATATCGAAAATCAAAGACAAATCAAAAGATATTATGGAGACATTATCAGACTCTAACAAACTACAACTTAAGGAACAAGTCAACATACTCTCAGATAAGTTTGCAAGAATCAACGCCATCATCAATGACAAGAAGAACATCTTACTTAAACATATCAAGGAGTACAAAGACGCAGCTGCTAAGATTGCTGCTGCACTCGAATTCCTCAATGAAATTCAGAACAAACTCAAAGCTCTTAATAAACCTATTGGAAGCAAAGTAGAAGATGTGATTCCTATTATTCAAGCGTATGAATCAATACTTGCTGATCTCAAAAAGAACAAAGCTATGCTCAAAGAATTACAAGGTGGAAATCTACATGATCTACAAGATATTCTTACACAACAAGACGATTTAATGGACACTATTGAAGATCAGATATCTAAATTGAAACAACTGTTGCTACTGCGTGAACAATTCTTTGCTCTTGTTAAAGAAATTGAAGAGTTCATTGCTAAGTACACTGACCTTACAGCTGAAATTGAGAAATCAAATGATACACTTGACGAGAAAATTAAGCGGTACGATGACATCATACTTAAAATTCAAGGCTGTGAGGCTTTGTTGGCCACGGCTACAGACAAGGGTCAACAAATTGCCGCCGAAGGTACTGTGATCGATAGGAATAACATAACAGAACTACTCCAGTCATTGAAACAACAGCTTCTAACTCTGAGAAGGACCGTGGAATCAAAACGGCAAGAGCATGAAAGAGCTGCAGCGGAACATAAGAAACTGGCTTCAGATCTCGCTGAAATACTGCAACAACTTCACGACAGTGAGTCCGCTGTGCATTCGCGACCACTTCTTAATAGAGACGTTGCGAGTGTCGACAAGAAGCTTGTCGAACATGCTACGCTAGCTAAGAACATGCAAGCTTGCTTAGACAAGTTCACTAAGATCACAGATATTATCAAGAATGACGACGGCATTCCTGGATCGTTGCTGGAAATGGTATCTGAAGGCAACTCTCTGAAGACGTCACTGCCCGCTGAACTGGCTAACAGGGAAAAATACCTGCAAGATAACAAGAAGAACCGACAGCAGTACTTACAGTTAGTCGAAAAATTGAACATCTGGGTGAACGAAGCGAATATTCGCCTCGATATGGGCAAGAACGGAACAGACTTTGAAAATATCGAGGCAGATCTTGAGGAACACAAGTCATTCTTTAACACTTCCGAGCCAGAAATGAAGGATTTGGTCGGGAAACGTATGCAGGACATCGTTGATAAGATCTGGCCGTCTCTTGCGACACCCGAGCAGGAAGAGTTGTCTAAAGACCACCAGAAACACAACCAACTTCTGAGGAACACTTTGAATTCCGCGAAGTCGAGACAAGCGCAGCTGGAGCAGGACCTGGAGATCTGGAAGGACTTCTGCCAGCTGGTGGAGAAGATCAAGGCGATCCTGGACAAGAACGATATCGAGGATGAAGCCGTCACGACCGTCGATGAGCTCAGGGTCCATCTGGAGAACTTGAACCGCGCGAAGAATGATTTAGAGGTAAGTGGATGACTTTTGTTTCATTTTTATTTTGTATTTTAATGATGATGTTTTCGAACAAAATTGTGTCCAGCAGATTGGTAGTTTAACGTCTCTGAATGTCCCATCAACTTATTAATTTAACTGCTGATTTTTATGATCTCGTTCACCTATATTTTTTCTCTTATTAGGTAGGTACCTAAACGATTTATGAATGTAAGTCCAGAAAATAATATCTAGCCGTTCTACTTATCCATGAGGCCGTTACGAATGGATTAGAGAAACGTAAACAAGATTTGCATTTAGCTGTAATTGAATAAGTACCTAAATAAAAATTGATCACACATGTATTAGCAAATGCAAGACAATCGTATTAACGATTAAGACGAAAAAGACAGGTAATTAGGCAAAACTTATTGATAACAAAACACATAAACACATTTATCCCTCGCGGAATCTGAACCCGCAGTCACAGAGTTGTAGCCAACTTCGTAAACCAGCCTCCAGGTTGGTATTATTTAATCACGAGAAATTATTTTTCATTTCTAAAAACTGGTTTCTGAAATTATCTAAATGATTTTTTTAGATTAAAGCTGATGGTAGTACCTATTTTAATTACATCTTTAGTCGATTAACGGCGAGTTTTAAATTAACTTTTAAGTATCAAGAAAAATAATACCGTATAGGTATGCGTTGAATTAATTGCTCCATACAGAATCATAATTTAAAATCAGTGCGTATTTAGTTAACTGTACGTTATTATAAACATGTATCGCCAACAGATTATTCAAGAAAGTTAGAGAAAAACACTTAACATCGACAAAAGTTGTAACTTTCTTTCTGAGAAGTGTATTTTCATGTAGCTTTGTATTATGAGTATGTTTCATGCAAATTTTATTATAAGTAAAGCTATACAAATGCATTGTTTAGCTATCATTAAGAAACTAGTTTCTGCCCGAGGTTCCACTAAAGGCTACAGCCTTTAGGTCTTTCACTTCTTCACAGTTCTTAACACGCAAAATGTGATCAAAAATACTTTATTTACTTACTCTCCAAAAGCCTATAATCTATTTTTTATTGATAGGTAAAAAAATCATCAAAATTAGTTTAGATGTGAAAAAGCAAGACATATTGATAGAGTTCAATGCTATGATCTCTTCATAAAGTATGAAAATAAAGAATAGTTCTATACAAAATGTCTATTTACAATCGGAATAAAAAAAATATCACAAAAGTAAATTAATAAAAACTGTACATTCATAATAAATACCATTCTACTTAATGATAAAAAACTAGCTAAGTCCGAATTAATATTAACGTGCATAGGTTTCCGTCCATTTCCAAAAATAATTTAGAAGTCATGGACCTATAAAAAAAGTCGGACGGATTCTCATCAACAAAATACTGTGACATTAGGATACACCAGCTTGCCTGTACGTACAGGCCGGCACGCACACATTCACACCCTGTTACACCACTTCGAGTGCAAACTTCACACAGTTGACACATTTAAGCAGCGAAAAAACAACACGAATACGACATGTCTTGTGTGATGAAATTGTGTAAAAACCGTTCTGTTCGAACAAACAAAAATTAAGGAATCACATTTCACAGGCAAAATAATAATCCAATCACTTATTTCCCGACATTAAAATATTGAAATTAATTGAAATCAAACGTCATTCACTCGAAAAAATAATACGTCAAAGACCAGTGTTCTCAGTTATTTACGTGGGAAAATTACCCGAAATATGGGAAATTAATAATGATTTTAGGACTTTTTAGTTATGTATTACGCATACTATGGAAATAAAATAATTTATCATAATAATTGTGTTTTAATGGGATATATTTTCATAGGCAAATTTGATCCTTCCCAAAAATGTGGAACTGCGAAATTCAAATTTTCTTACATTGATTGCAAGTCAGTGTCAGGTTGTATGTTAAAAAAAATCTATCAGAGATAATAATAATATATTGATGATGCATTAGATTATGATTATAATGTACACAAGATTCGTAATTTGTAACTGCGTGAATCATTTTTGATCAACATTATGTACATACCCTGACACACTGACTTGCAAACAATGTAAGAAAATTTGAACATTGAAAATTTCGCGCCTACCTCAACGCATACACCTTTCATCCTTTTAAAATGGCACGGAATAATTCTGTCTACATTTCCAAGTAACATCTGCCGATCTATGTTTTTCTTAAAATAAATGGGTAAAATGTTTTGGCTAACATGGCATCCCTAAATTCACTCACACAATAGACAAACGCCAAAATTTTGCGTCACAGTTTTGTTGTAGCGCGAGTTCCGTCCGCCTTTTTTTATAGGTCCATGTTAGAAGTATTGTACTAAAATGAAAGCTGTGTTGCAGTTATGAATAATCTTACGCCTAAAGCGAGGTTTACACTAGCAATAAAGTCACCACAGTGTAAATAGCTGTGACAGCCAATTTTTGTAAGATTTACACAGTGGTGACAGCTTGCGGAAGTCAACTTCTGCAAGTTTTATTGCTAGTCTAAACCTCGCTTTAAAACTTGTCTGTCCGGTGACATCACAATATCACATTATCAGTCAATATTATGTCCGTTCCGTTTATCAAAACTTTTACGGAACCCTAAAAAGGGTTTAATATCTTTAGATATCTGTTGTTATCATCGCGACCAATAATATAATGATGTCATAATATTACTACGTCATTTAAGGGCAATTAACTAAAAAAAATGTTTATTGAATATTACAAAACGTGGTTTTTTACTACACTCGACAGCAAATAAATCGCACCACCCGCGACGCGAACTTTAAAGATTTTCTTTAGACACAATAATGGCGCCCCAACAATATTGGTGTTATTTGAAAGCCCAATAAATATGCTTAAAGAAAAACACATTTAATTTCTTAATAAATGATTAACATATACCATAAATGTGACTTGAAAAAAGACCTCACTTTGGGCTCACCTCTGGGATCAATTAGACCAAATTTTATGGTTATAAAACCAAATAATGATCACACGTGTCCTCTTTAACATATGGATAGCGATTAATCCCAACTTAACAGTTTTATAGTCATAAAAAATGGCTATAGCGTAACTACCTATTTTTTGAAGAAGTGACTCTGGATCCTTGTAAAGACACATTTTTGGGGTAAAAACCTTTCCTTTAATAAAATGAAGTTTAGAACTAGGCTTTTAAATGGTGCCAATATTGGTGGGAAGTAGGGATGCATGACGTTTGAAAATGCTTGTCGCGGGTGGTGCGATTTATTTGCTGTCGAGTGTATAATCTAAAGATATTTTAAATAACTTGTATCAATCGATAGTTTGAGATGCGAATCCTTAACGCTAGAAAATATTAATATTAAAAAGATTACAGTGAAATCGTTCAATACTTAGTCAATAGCGTCAAACTACCTATTAATTACAGGTACCAATTTTAACCAGTTCGTACATGCGTAATGTAGAGTTTTAATATACTTTTTACAATAAAAATCGTCTTGAAAAGCGGCGACCTTCAGTGCACCTAGCTAGGCAATTGTTCAGTCTATTTTAGCGCATATCCTTACTAGGTTAACGCACCCGAAGACTGGTTAAGGTGACGCCTGCGCAGTTTTTCAATCGCGATGTGATTAATTGCTAATTTATATTCGTGCAATAGCACGCGCGAGGAATTCTTAAGATGACATCACAGTTCGTACGTTCGTAATTTTTATTGGTATTAACAACGCTAAATAATTTGGCATCATCAGTTGTTGTAATAGCTTATAATTTGTATCTGACTTGTTGGCGACTGTGCCTACTGCACGTTTGAAGTTTAAAATTTATAGAAAATCTGAAGAAAATTGTTAGTGGCCTAGATAAATAAAGATTTCCCCAATGGGAACCTACTTATTTCAGTGTAGAGCTCTTTCCTCGATTACATTGGCTTGTAAGCAAACAGATCCATAGTTCCACACATAATTTAATATAATTTCAAATAGGCTTAGGGGACAGTTCCCGACTGTACTAAAAAATATTTCCTCCAAAATCTTAAGCCCATACATTGGCTTAGGCTATTATGTTGATTCTTCTATTTTACGTATGATTGACGTATTTATAAAGATGGTACTCATATTGAGATTACCTTTTTTGTCACTGCTATTAAAGTCTTGTGTGGAGACAATAAACCCATTATTACCGAATATCGTCCCTGTATTTCCATATTCATGCTGTGAATCGACAAATTCGACGAGTGACGTCACAATTTGAAATTCAAAGCAACTCGCTACAACTTTAGCATAATGTATTCGGTTATTCGGTTGCCGTGTGGTGACGGCAGAGTAGAATACATTTGTCACCAACCCCTACTCTTCCCGCGGGTGTCGTAAGAGGCGACTTAGGGACTACACATCAAACAGAGAATGGGCAGCAGCGCTCTCNACTTAGGGACTACACATCAAACAGAGAATGGGCAGCAGCGCTCTCTGAAAAACATCAATCTTTTAAACTGCGATCTCCAACCCGCCTGCCAAGCGTGGAGATTATGGCAAAACCCTCCACTATAGTGGAGGAGGCTCATAGTCCAGCAGTGGACTGTAAAGGGCTGTTGATGATGATGATGATTCGGTTAAGTTTAACGAAAGCAGGATAATTTTGTTTAATCTAGCAATATCATTTAACGGTCATTGACTCAGATAATTTACTCAAATTGTTGCAAAGTAAGTAAAAGTTTCATTTCCAAGTTGTCCGACAAGTATGAAATCAATTAGGTCAATGCATCGTTATTTATTTTACCCGGTATTAGGTACGTGCATAATCGATTCATGCAACAAATTATTTTAATAAAATAGGTAACTAACTGATGTTATAAAAAACATTATGACATAAACGCTAAATTAGAATGCTAATGATATTCTAAAAATAAATATTAAAGATTCCTCTGCTTATTAACTTAATTCCAAGAACAAGAGCTTTTTAGAATATCACGGTTAGTTGCGAAATAGATAATGGTTTGTAGACAGTCGATTCAACGACCATGTAGAGTCAAGTCAGTAAAAATAATTGCAATGTTTATTTATTTTTGGTACGTTTTTAGGATTGAAGTAACCTTATTTCTTTCAACAAACTGCATTGCATAGAATAGGTATTTTTAAAGTTAATAGATATAACCCCAAGTGTTTACGAACGACTCGACAGTCAGGAACAACGGCGGAGGGTACGACTGTCATTGAAATGACTGCCCTCAACCCATTGCCTCTCTCGTTTCATGAATCAGCAGCCCATTAACTCCCAACCGGCAAATTGGTATCATGTTTATTATCACTCGGCACCCGCGAGTGGTTCGCCTTAACTGGTGATGTCACGCTCGGTGCGCCCGCGCACTCGCGTACCGTCCCTCGCAGGAGACCAACGCAATGAGCACCGAACGTACCAACCTGTTTATTTATTTTCATCTATTATTGTACAAGTGCGGAATCCACGTGACCACTTAGATTATTTAATTTTTCCTAATTTAGTTTTAGTTTAGTTTGTTTGTTTATTTTAGTTTTAGTTGAACAGTAACCATTCCGCGAAAGAGGAAGGTGAGTGCGGATCCGAAATCGTTTTCACAAAAAGTTCGCTCGGTTTGGTGAACGGTGTTTTTGGATTCAGTTTACCGGTGTTTTTTTATCTAAAGGACCGATGCTTTGTCAGATATACTTTATCGTTTAAATGTCGGTCCTAAATCGGGTTTATTTTAGTTTTCCTGTAAATCTAAACCTCAAAGTGTTTGGGTTTCCCATACTATTTATTTAAATGAATACTATTTATATAGGAACTCAGGAAAATAATACGATTGTACCTATTGAATACTAATTTCATTCGGTTAATAACGAAAGCGAAGCTCAAAACAAGTGAAAAAATATATTTAGTTGTGCAATAATTCTGAGAGCAATAGAAAAACAAATTGGGTGCAGTTAATCCCAAAACAAACATTAACGCTTTTATTTCTTACGATTTCTTATGTTGTATTTGATTTTAAACTTAATTCACAACATAAGGAGTAAAAAGTGCAGATTTAATTTACTACTCCAAAACATCAAATCGCGTGCGCTCTGTAGTCACGAACGCTTTTCAATCGTAACCTATTTTTTCGCTGAATGTTTTCGGTTTATTGGTCGCCATTTTGGTCTTAAAGCCGTTTAGTCACGACGATACACCGGGAGGCTGAATGTTGCACAGTGTTCATCGACAAACGGCCTCAGAGCACGAAAGAAAACTTTATAAAATCGCACTTCACGAACTAGTAAAACGAGTAACTAGCAGACTATAAACACGCAATCGATTTAAATCGTAAAATACTGGTCACTCTCACTAAGTACTGATTGACCAGAAAAAGTGCATCACTAATAATTCAGTTGCTATAAATAGAATACTTGATAACAATAACAGAGTCCTGACTCAATTAACATGACGATACCTTTTTCAAGGTTAAAAAATATGCCAACATGTTTACTAGAATAACTTTATATGTATCTATTTACTTACTCAAAAACAAACAATACCAACAGAAAAATACATGTAAAAACTGAAATATAATAAAATAAATGACAATCACTATGTAATTAATGCGCATTAAATAACATTAGTTGCAATTAAAAGTTGTTATCATCAGTAGCAACCATCAACAATTAATTTATGTGTTCGATCTCAAATGTACCGCATGGCTGCGATTGAAATATTGGCATAACATACAAATACTTGAGTGAAAATAATCTGCAATCTACAGTTATCAGGGTGCTATCAGTCGCCGGTTTATGGCGCTGATAACATTGTAAACACTGCCAGCAATTGCATTTTGATGAAATCTAATAGGCGCTTAGAAACACTGGGAAAACCTTTGATTGTAATTTTAATCGGTGAGAAAAATCTGACGTAAGAAGAAGAAGTCGTAAGAGGCTAACAAAAATCTGTCATAAGATCTATTTTCTTAAGAACAACTTATTTTCTTAAGAATATTGCCAAAAGATAAACAAAACAAAAACAAAATTGAAAAATGTAGAGTCGGTCTACGCTACTAAAGGAGGTACAAACAGGTCTCGCGCACGTCACTCATCAAAAACGACTCCGTGATTCCACTACAAATGTATTTACTCTTGTGTAATAAGTTAAAATTGTCAAAACCCCATAGTCTCGTGAGTTCCGCTTGAGTCTGAATGATGACTTCATAGCATTACCATCGCTAGTTCAGTATCAAGGTCACGGCGAACGAGCTAGTAGTGACTTAACGTCAGCATGCTATGCTAAGTTACATTGTGAGGGGACATTTTAGACGTTAGAACTTAGAACTGCCATTAAGTAGATATATTTTTATTACTCCAATTCAAAAAAAATCCTCTCAGAGAAGTTTAAATTATTAAATATCTAAAATCTCCTTACATTAAAAATTAGAAATTAATTCTACTTCTATTAATATTCTGAGCTTACATTGTCGATGATTTAATAATCAGGGTCCGTAACGATGAAATCATCTATGTAAAATAAAGTATTGATGTAGTCCCGTGACCTTTCCACGAGTATGTAAAGCAAGGAGGAAATTGTGGAAAGGATGCCAAAACCTCAATGTAAACTTGTCTCGCAACCTTCGCATTAAGTCAAAAATTCTTGACCCTGAAGCAATGGTACTTTATCAATTGCATATTTGCAATAATAATTTGCTCTTGTAATACTCATATTATTATGTTGAAATCGCAAACAAATTGACTGGGTCGATGTGCAAGTTTTTCAAGCGATGCTCAAACTTCAATTGCAACTTGAATAGCTGTGCTTGAATCTCTATTTAAAAAACAGGCTTACCTCAATTCTTCTACACTTTTTCCTTGTTTCCAGACCTGTTTCATTTCAGGCCCCAGTTTCTTACAATCTGTTGTACTCTCATAATTCATCACATCAGTCTCCACTACAGGAGCACGAATCCCTGCTAACTGGCCTCTATTTTGATCTACTTCCCATGTTGGCTAAGATAGTTGAGAAGGCTCTAATAAATTGTGGTCTTTTCTTTTAGATTGTAGTGAAAATATACGTGTTTCTCTTTCTCCCACCAGAACCAGCAGCCGCTCTTGGACGTGCTCCGAGAGCGGGCGCGCGAACTCGGCAGCGCCGCCGACGCGGCCAGCGGAGAGAGGGTCGAGCAGAAGACCAGGGAGCTAGCTGACAGATGGAACGTTGCTTCGGAAGGTTGGTATAACTCCAGTACTAGTCGAAAGGTGGAGAGATAATCATTTGGTCTAGGCATCTCGCATTTTAACTATTCAATCCTCAAATTAGTGAGATGGTACTTTCAAAACTTTCTAAATTCAGAACTTTTTCTTGCCCTAATCGGGTATATGGTACCTTTCCCTGCTTTGCAGCTTTGTCTTCCCAGAAACTCTTAAATAGCCTTTATTTTGGCTTTTATAAGCCTGGCCCTCTGTAAAGTTGCAGGAATGTTATTTTATCATGAAATTGATAACAACATTAATTATCAACTTTATCAACCATGTTAGGGCACACTGTCTTTTATCAGTATGCATTACCGCAATCACAATAAGTAATTTATTCATCTTGCATGAAAGTTTCAAGTGTCGTAGGTACTGCAGTAGTTTGCAATAAAACAATCAAGTGTAATAATTTCTTAGTTCTTCCAGACTAAAATTCAATTTGACAGCCTTACTAAGATTTTCTTTGCGATTAATCTTTAATCTGGCATCAGGTCTTGCCAAACGCGCGGCCATCGCCGAGCACCAGCTACAACGCTGGAGCCAGCTCCTGGACGTGCAGAGGAGCCTGGCCGCCGGCATCACCGCCGCCTCCGACCGCCTAAGGCAGCTCGACGCTACCCCCAGCACTAGGAGGAAGGCACTCGACTCCAGACATGCTTTGCAGGTATTTATAGTTGCAGGTTTACAGTCTTCATATAATTTTACTCTTTTGATCAAATTGCAGATGATTGTTGAAAGTTTGTTCCTAAAACAGGGTTGTTTACAATTTTCAGGAATTCTGTTTCAGGTTTCTTGTACTGCCATTTTTGAAAACTTTACCGTTTTATTTTACCATATTTGTGTGAACTAATTTAGGTATACTTTTAATATTCTTGCTGTATTTCAGTTTCATTGTTTATCAACAAGTGATAAGCGTCCAATTTTCAACCAATTTGCGGTATTTGCATTGCAAAAGTGCAACTCATAAGCACATGTCACAGATACACTATCGCATCAAACGATATCTTATCTATGTGGCGCCTTCTTAATTGTGAAATTACAAGAATCGAGCGTGTTTTGTTTTGAACAGGAGCTGCAGAGCGATGTGGAAAGCCTGGAAGAGTCCAAGGACGAACTTCTGGAACACGCCGATTTCATTGTGGCCTTCCTGAAGAGCCACTCTGGACAGGCTGCGGAAGACACGGACGCCACTGTCAAGGAACTCGTGGAAGCGTATGAAAAGTAAGTGCCGATTACTTGGTGTTAATCTGATTGTGTACATTTCTGTGTGACTTTTAGCAGGATACCTTCCGCGAAATATTTGCGTGATGTGAACTTTTAGCGCGTTAGTTCGATCGGCTAAGTTTTATATTTACTGATTCAATATATAATTTTACGAATGATATAACGTTCACTTTTCTTGAGTTAAACGAAACCGGTTTACGGAATACGGAAATGGCTCTGACCTACTGGCAATACAATAAGACACCGAAGATGATATGGGATCGCTTCCAAAACATGGCGGAAGCGAGCGAAAACAAAAGTGAAGCCCTCCCGCAGTCGCCATAACATTGACGTCACGTGTTTTAGTTTTAACCGGACAGATACTATCTCGATTTCTCGATTTAATTGAGCGTAGCCAATGGCTAGACGGTCACATTTGCATTCGAAACATTTCAGCTTAGAATGTGCGCGCAAATATTTCACTTTCAACGACTTTCCGACTTGATGTCATTGAAGTAATATTACTACGTATAGAACAGACATCGCGAACAAAATATGTACAGTGCGGGGTGCGGGGCGGGAATTTGACGGACAGCTGTCAGTCAAATCCATGACTATCAAGTTTCATAATTTATGGCGATAAAATCTGCACCAGAAAATGTCGTACTTCATTGATAGGATTGCACGAATAGTGACGTTCCTGCGGTCGCCTCATCATAGACATTGTGAATCGATTGTGAAAATAAACAAATCGGCTAAATTGTGTTAAATTTTCATTGTGCTCAATAGCAAAAAGGTTCAGCTACTTACGTTATTTTCTTTTATTATGTGCGTTTCCTGTAATGTAATCTAAGCTCCCCTCCCTTACACTAAAATTAGCCCTCCTAGACAAGTGACAAAACGAAGCAGTTGAAACATTCGAAATCACTTCGCTCTGCCGTTTTTTGGTGTTAGTTACTTCACTCTGTGATGCGATTTTAAAATTACAACTGGCGATTCCGAATTCACAACTGAGGGGACTGAGGCTAATCGTGTTACTTGTGCTACAAGTGCGTATGGGCTTCATACTGATGCTTAAGCCATTAATTATTTTTCTTCCCGATTAAAATCTAATGTAATCGATAATCGCCTTGAGAATCGTTAACTGGTATTTTCTAATTCGATAAAAAAATTACCCATCTCTAGTTTAAAACTGTCATCCAACAGCGCACGAAATATTATGAGTTATAGATAATGATACCATTACAGAGGCGACACTTCGTTTACGTTTAGTTTCTGCCTATTGAATTGGATACTGTAAGGAAACATCGTCATCATCATTTTAGCTACTGGACGTCCACTGCTGAACAAAGGCCTCCTCTAATGATTTCCACATCGCCCAGTTGATAGTGGCCTGCACCCAGCGTCTTCCTGCTATCTTCAGTCAGTCCATCTTGAGATTTTAGAAAAATTCCCACTCGTCACGGTAGGAACAAAGCTAGGGATGACCCACGCCTTCACTCCAGAACCAATAAAATAACTGAAAGTCAGAAACTTTCAGTTATTTTATTGTCTCTATTGTTAACTATCTCAGTGGTTGAGTACACGTATAATAGCTGTGAGGTAGAAGTTACGGGACTATTCCCACCTCTCCTTTTCACCGCTGCATCTCCTGTGTAGCTAGCACCTAGACTAGTTGATTTAAAGCCAAGGTATATCAGTTTTTAGGTAATGACTTAGTGCATCTAAAAATGTAAAACTTTCTAGTTTTTTGTAACATTGAAAAATCTAAAAAGAAGCATCATTTTTTTTACCAAGTGTTTCTAAGAAATTTAAATGGAAGCTTTTGATGACAACGTATTGCTTACTTTTTCAGCTGTCGAACGAATCACTTTTATACTCATAGGTCCTGTACATCGGTAGATTTGGTAAATAAATGAATCCATCCGGACTCAGAAACTAAAAAAATTAAAATAGCTGTAATTTTTTAATACTGGATTTGTCGATTAAATTGATCATATTACTGCGCCCTAACGGGTCGGACACTGGTGACCAGACACACTGTACAATTATTATAATTTTAGCCTATCTCGTGAGCTAGGTGTCAATAATTAGGGTGATTTACTAACTAACCAGTCTCATACAAACAACAGCAGTAAGATTCAAACAAGTTTGATCCATGATGCCGCACGACTATTGTGTGAGCCGCCCACCCGTAACCCAAGCTTATTTAGCTTAACACAAGGGGCTGGACGGGACTATTAGTAATTTGTGCAATACAAAGTGCTTATAATCTTTAAAAAAATCTTCCTTCCTTTCGTATACTAATAAGCGTCAGTGTCAAGTCTGCGATTTTTATTCTTTGAAATTTTCGTAAAATGGCTGCCGCCGCGGTGACGCCTTGTAATTAACAAATTAAAATTAAATTAGTGTTTTAAAGTGCATAAATGTACAACTTAATGGTAAAAAGTCATTCCTTGATTTTTACTTAATATGTATCTGGAGTTATTTGAACAGTATTTTCGTCTATAGGATGGCATATTTCAAAAAACAAAACTGCACTCAAGCGTGTTGTCACAGCAAGCGCTGAGCACATACTAATTGTATTTCGGTCCGTGGACCTATTTACATGCCAGAAACAGTCTAGTTGACATGTCTTCTCTAGTACGTAGTACATTATAACTCAATGCTTGATGTACGGCTGGCAAACTGTCAACCAGCTGACAGCATTGACGGATACCTTCACAACAAAATGAAAACCCACTGACCTGATAAATTAAGGCGCCAAATTACCTAACTCGCCGAAATTTTCGCACCTCGTCATCGATGGAAATACGCTTGCCAATAAAATTTGGCCGTCAGCCTGTATTTCCGCCGATTCGAAATACCAAACAAAAATCATTCAAACGGACTGGATAGTATAAATCATTTAAAGACAAGTCAATGTAAACCAGCAAGAAAAATATCACGAGCCAAGAATGACGAATTCTTAAAACAAATCTAATTCGGCTTCCAAAACTATTCTGTTTTATGAACCAATCGTAAACCAAACTCAGCCTTGGAACTTCGGATGTATGTCGACGACTCTTCATTGTTATCTGTTCTACTGGTTTTTGTTGTTACATAACATTAATACAGAGTTATATGAGATAAAATACTTGCGGGGCGCTGAAAAAATTGACAAGTGATGTGCATAGTTTGGTTTGCGGTTGCTTTTCCGAGTTAATTAGTTTATTTTTAATTTTTGAGTTCACAAATACTCGAAACCAGCCAGCAAAAATGTTCACGTCGACGACAAAAATTTTATTTCGAACATAAAAATTCTTCACGAGCAACATTTATTTCACAAACAGATTCCGGCTTTAGAGTCCGATTTGTAAGGGTCATATTGCCGTGCCGAATTTGGAGACTCCCTATACGGCTGGTGAATTAATTTGATTGTGGTGAATGGTATTTTGGACTTTGTTGGGCTCAGGATAAGGGTTATTGTACGTTTGAGTGGAAGTAGTGAAGTCATCGAGTAATTGGTTGTGTCAGCCGCGTATGGCGCGGTCAAGGGCGGCGTCTACCGGCGTCGGAGACTTAATTGGCAACTTGTTCGGTGCACCAACTTGGAGACGTGGGAAATGGAAAAAAAAAACTCTTTTCTCGAACCTTACTGCACTGTGTGAATGAGTGTAATTAACTTCAGAATAATATCACGACTCTATGTAGTTATAGTGAATTAGGTGCGAAGCTATTACGAAATTCAGGAAATAAAGTTTTTAAGAATAAAAAAAAGCAATTTGTCATGACACCAACGAAGAGTCCGCTCATTTATTTTAAAGGACATTATTCTAGGAACATGACGTTGGTACATGCTTCAATCGTGAAATCATCGGTAAAAATATCAAACGGAAAATAAGATTTGATTTTTTTCGATGTTGATGTCACATCTGTGGTGAAAGAATTTGCGCTGTAACACAATGGGATAGAGTTTAATTTAATTGTAATTTTAAGGTACCTCATTCCTATTCCTATGTCACAGGCTTACGTAATGGGGTGACGAATTATTTCAAATAGTTCTATGGCTGCATATCTAATAAAAATTAAGCAATGGTCATAATAAACTCATGTGTTTCCGCTTGGCCTTGGTACGTGTATTCCAGTGGTTTATTTCTGTAGTAATGAGAACGATTTTGCGGTTAATTACATGGAAACACTTTAGGAAGCGAACGCGTGTAGCGTGACCGGCGAATCTCCATAATTGGATTTCAGCTTAAAAAAGTAGTTTTATGTCGACGAAACTCAAAGTGATAATTCATCCGACAAGACCACAATTAAATTCAATAATATTTTTTTCTCAGTAACTTGGCGGGTTAAATACTTTTTTTACACGTGGCACTCTGATGCAAGTATCTAATCCAAATTAAAATACATTATTTTGTAACTGGTTTTTCTTCATAAATCTTTGTATCCTTATTTATGTTTGTAAAGTTGTTTTATAAACATAAATAAGGATACACAAATATATTTGGCATAGTAGCTGAAGAAGTCGTGCCTTTAAAAATGTCACTCTAGGGAAACAATTTTTACAAAACCGGTTTGGAAGTCAAAATGTTATTGGGGCAAAATGTAGAGCCACGGACAAATATTAAAGTCGTTTAATGTCTCTGAAACGGGTCTTAATAAAATACCCAATTTTGTGTCACCTTTGGAAATGTGACATTGATGTGAAAATCCTAGGGCAGTAATATTTGTGTTTTCATTACTAAATTGCGTCATGTGGGCGCGAAGCGATTTTGGAATTAGAACTGTCACGTTTGGGAACTTGTCTAAGGAGGCTGGTCGAGTTTCCAGAACTATCCTATCATGTGGGAATATTAATGAAAGTTACCGGGATAATTCCCGCGTCTGTTTTACCGGTGACGGCACATCTCTAGCGGGCATCTATTTCGGTTAATCAACTTGAGGGCGGTGATGTCATAGAGTTCTCCGCAGGAAACAGCAATGGCGTATTGTGTGCAGATACCAATATTTCACTGGGTTTGCTCTGGCACGCATTATCTAAAGTACCTTTATCTATTTATTTAACGAATAAATTAATTAGATACAGTAAATTAATCAAGGTAATTTATTTCTGCCAATCACAATGCGGTTTAAAATTATGGATATACTAGCTTTCCGCCCGCGGCTTCGCCCGCGTGGAATTTTGTCTGTCACAGAAAAACTTTATCGCGCGCGTCCCTGTTTCAAAAACCGGGATAAAAACTATCCTATGTTCTTTCCCGGGACTCAAACTATCTCTATGCCAAATTTCATCAAAATCGGTTGCGAGGTTTAAGCGGGAAAGCGTAACAGACAGACAGACAGACAGAGTTACTTTCGCATTTATAATATTAGTTGGGATAGTTGGGATTGGGATGTATTAAAGACAGGTGTGCAGTGAAATCAAATTATAATAATGCTACATAATAATAAAATATGATATTATTTTTATTCTTTACCATGTAATTACTACATGGTATACATTATTTAATGCAACGCGAAAATTTAAAATTAATTAAATAAAACAACTTTTCAATTGAAAAGCTATCACAGAGCGAAATTCAACTAAAATAATATAGCTACAATAATATATTTAATGATTCGTTGCAAAAAAATGCATGTAAAATGCATTTTTTTTTAAATATTTTTAATAAGAACATTTTACAAAACCTTAAGATCTGTAAAACGTAACAGCCCTTCAGCCCTAAAGACATGGGTCGAGTTCCGACCTACCCGACGCCATATCATTATTCAGCAAAATAATCAATCGGCGCATCGACTTGACAACATCGAGAACACCCTGCCGGCGCTATCGATTATTTTAAAAATAAACTTTGCCTCTCGCAAAATATGGCTGAAATTCATGCGGCAGGCGACCCAGACGACCGGCAGGGCACGGGGGACGTGTAATCGTTATTCAAACTGGCAGACCACTATTTCCAAGCCGGTCGCGCATGCGCGCTCTGCGCTTTATAGGTCAGGGCCTCCCAGTCTGCACTGGAACCCGGCTTCGCACTGGGATATACTTAGCACTTACGCCATCTTAAAGTCTACGAATTATAGATTTTTCCACAAAAAGGACACCGGAAAAGTACGCAATGTGCGAAAGTGCGCCGCGCTCAGTGTTTCGAGATCGCGCCGGTGACACGTGTGCTCCGCCGGGCCCCCGCGGCGCTCCCGAGGCCGGCCCCGAAGTCGGGCTCGAAAGATAGACGCTCTGCATCACCTCTGCACAAAATAAGGAGACTGGGACGTGCCTGCGTCGCGGTCCAGCGGCGAAACTCACACATGTTTTATAATCTCGCTGAATTATGTGATACGAATGTGAATGTGCCTACGTGTGTCTCGGACCGATGAGTCACGGACTTAGATATATTTCGGTGGATTCGACGATTGCAAACTTTTGTAAGATCTTTGTATCTTTACAATGCGTAGTTTTTGGCAGCGATCCCTTCGAATGTTTACTTCGCCGTTTAGCTCAGAACTCGCGGCGCCGGCCGGCCATGCCTGCCGCACATTAGCGCATGTCATTCATTTATGTTGCGCAATACCCACGATCGGCTCTCGTCCGCTCCGTGGAGGATTCATTATTAATTTATAACTTTATAACCGCGTAAGTTCAGCGTTAAGTGAGTGCGTGCTCGAGGCAAGGTCGCGCCCGCCGCGCAATGCCATCCGTCAGTCGTGTGTGCAAAACGTAAACACTCGCCGGCATATGCACCGAAAAAACTCGCGGTCTGATGTCACCGTGCAAACATTAGAACGTGGAATTTAAAATTAGATGCGTCCAGCGAATCTATCGAGAACGGTTCATTGAGCGACGGGCGGGCGCCGCGAGCGGAGCGCCGCAAGCGAACGAGCACGAACGAAAAGGTACAGGCGCGCCACTGGCCGCGGCGACCTTGCGCCGTCACGGACTCGCGGCGCCGCGTCACGCCGCGCCGGATTATTTTCGTCGCAGTTTGGCAGCTCTGCCTCACGCGTGCGCCCCGACTTCCACACTTGCACACAACACGCCGCAAACTCTACGCTCTAACGCTTTTCTTTCTATTGCAGATTGCGACAGACAATAGCGGCGAGGCTCGCGGAAATCGACAAGATTGTTTCTGATTTCGACCGAGTGTCGGAGAAGATAGACGAACTCCGGCAGTTGATCGAAGTCTCCATTGCCAAAGTCAAGACTTTCTACGTATTCGGCGAGGACGAAACGGAAGGCGTGCGCGCATTAACCAAAGAAGTATCCGATTTGGTCGAGCGCACCAAGAATTTCACCGAGGAGAGCAGGAAGCAATACGGCGGATCGGCGCCAGCTGACGTAGCGCAGGAGTTGTCAGCTTTGGAATTATCTTCGGAGGCGTTGGCCGCGGCGATGGAAGAAAAGGAAAGGGAATGGAAGCGTGCGCGCACAGCTCGCTCCGAGTACGCCACGGATGTCGAAGACGTTCAGGCGTGGATCAAGGCAGCCGAGCTGACCGCGCGAGATCGCACATCGCCGCCGGAGCCCTACAGAGAGCGCCTCGTGGCAACCAGATCTGAAGTGCCAAACGTCGCCGACCGAGTCGAGCGTCTGACGCGCAACGCGCGCGCTATCGTAGAAGGCAGCCGCGACGCCGGCGAGAGGCAGCTGGTGCAGTCCACTGTCTCGGCGCTCACGGAGCAGTTCGCGGCCGTGTGCAGCGAGCTGGAGGCCCGGCAGGCCGCCATCGAGGACGCCTGCGACGCCGTGGCGCGCTTCCTCGCGCTGCTAGAGAAAGTCCTGCTTTGGGTCGAGACACAACGTGCATTCCTAGCGCGGCCACTCCCATTGGCCGACTTGCAGGAGGCGCAGCAGAAACAGACTGAATATGGGGTAAGGCACCGGCTCACTGGTAGGCTGTGACTTAGTTGATTCATTCACTAATAAAATTTTGTTTTCAGAACGCGCTCAAGAGTTGCAAGCAGCAAGCCAAAAACTTAGCGGACATGGCCAAAGAAATAGAGGCAATCGAACGCGTAACGAGTCCGGGAGACCTCCCATCGAGACTCGAATCGGCCGAGAACGCCACCGTCGACGTCGAGAAGAGACTCGCGAAGACCGTCAGTATATCCACCTCGATCGATCCCGATTCGAGAGGCGCATTCGTGCTGACTTCCTTTTCTTTTCGCAGAACGGCCTGCTCCAGGAGCTCGCAGAGGAGTGGGAGAGATGTGAGAAGAAGCTGAAAGACGCCGGCCACTGGCTCGAGGCGACCGCGCGGACGCTCGAGATGCCGCAGAACGCGAAGAAGCCGCTGCGCGACCGCCTCGCCCTGCGGGAGAAGCTCATAAACGACATCTCCACGCAAAAAACAAAGATCTCGTACGCCGTCGAGAAACTGAACGTGAGTATTTTCAGGTCGGGGAGGGCGCCGACATCGTGTGGCGGCAGGCTAACCGTGGCTCGGTTGCAGGTGCACTTCGGGCCGGACGGCGTGGCGGCGGGGTCGCGCGGGCCCGAGGGCGTGGAGGCGAGCGCGCGCGCGCTGTCGGCGTCGCTGGACGCGCTGAGCGCCAGCACGGGCGCGCAGACGGCGGCGCTGGCGGCGGCGCTGGCGCAGGTGGAGGCGTACTGCGCGGACGTGGGCCGCCTGCGGGCGCAGCTGCTGCAGGCCGAGCAGCACCTGCGCCACGCCGCGCAGCCGCACTACGCGCCGCGCGAGCCCGAGCGCGCCCAGCAGCAGCAACAGGTGAGCCCCTCACTCTTCGTCACGAACTCACCGACACCAGCAGTAGGTGGCTAGCGAGCGTTCTAGTTTTGTTTATTGTCGACGGATCACTGTACATTACTCACAGGCCGCGCACTCGTACAGATTATTTATTTCGTTCTTTTTTTTTGTTCTCCTTCTCTTCCCCCACCTCGCACTAACACGTCGATCGATATCCTCTGTCAGGAGTGTCGAGAGAGAGTCAAGTCGCTCCAGAGTAAGATTCAGGCGCGCAACGAGCGAATCAAGCTTCTAGTCCAGCGCGGGAGTCCGGACTCGGACCCGCTCCGGGACGCGTAGTCCGCGTTCGGCCTCTATTCCTATTTTTAATTTGTAATATTTTTTAATGATAATAACTGTCGTATTTATGTATCGATTAAACGTATTCGACGCACCGCAGCCACCGTCGTTTCCTTTCATCATCCCGCTTCGATCGCCCGCGTCATTGACAGTCTCCTTTGACCCTATTGTAAATTATGAATGTCCGTACTTGCGTATCAGGAAATCGCCCGGCGTATCGAAGAGCTGACTCGAGCTATCTACGAGCTGGACCCGTACTTCGTGATGGCGGCCCCGGGCGGCGCGGCGGCGGACGAGCGCGTGGCAACTCTGAGCATGCTCGTGTCGAGCGGCGCCCGCGCCCGCGCCGCCCGCCGCGCGCGCTCGCCGCAGCGCCGGCGCGCCGCCAGCCCCGCCTGGCTGCTGGCCGGCACCACCTACGCCGAGATAGTCAGAGGCTGCGGCTCGCGATCCAGCTCGATTGGATCTAGACAACCCAGCGCTCAGAGGCAACCCAGCGCACAGAGACCGGACAGCGCTCAGAGGGACACCAGTGCACAGACGCAACTCAGCGCCCAGGCGCAACCCAGTGCCCAGAGGCAACCGAGCGCCCAGAGACAACCGAGCGCCCAGAGACAACCTAGCGCCCAGAGACAACCTAGCTCCCAAAGGCCACCGAGTGCCCAGAGGCCGCCGAGCTCCCAGATAGCGACCCCAGAACCCGAACCGAAACAAAAAATTGATTGGAACTTGCTTATGGATGTGGACACTCGCCCGAGTGATGAGTTTAGTGTTACCGTGCAGTGTGACCCACCGGACGACGAGCCCGGTGGATATAGTGAGACTCGCGTGTGCGACCTCAGTGAAAGTGAACCGTGTGTGTGGGACAACAAGAAAATGTATGCGTCTTCTGTTGTCCCCGTGGATTGCCATGAAGTGCCCGGATATGACGTAGGGAAGCCTGGTATTGAAGTGTATAATGAGCCATTTGTAAACTTGGACGTGCAAACAGTTCAAGAACTAGGGGACTCGCCGTCACGAACTGTTGTCGAATTAAGTCCACCGGAAAGGGATCAGAGGTCTGCTAGCCCTGCGACGAAATATCGGTCACAAGATTTATCGTACGCAGAGATACTGGCATTGGGCTTGCGAAAACAATCTAAAAGCCACAGTGTCATGTCATTGCCAAAGCCACAAGTTGCACAAGTGGAGTTAGTCAAAGAAATCATTGTAGAATGCGTTGAAAAGACTCCGGTTCAAAATCCAGAGCCAAGAATTGAGCGTTTAGATTCATCATCTAGAATAAAACCAGAACGGCCGGATAAACCGTTCCAACGCAGTCGCTCTAGAGACATGCCTCGACAGCGCCGTGCGCCTGAAAAGCGACCAACCAAGGCACATGACGTGCAAACCTTGAAGAAAAAGAAAACCTCAAAAAAGGTTATAGAAGTTCAAGACTTTGAAGATGCTCCTGAATTCGAGCAATCTATTGAAATAACACCTACTTCAATTCCGGCTAAAATACATGAAAAAGAAAGCGTTGAATCTTTTAGTAAAGAAGTTACGAAAAAAATTCAACATAGCGCTACTGTAGTTGAAACAATTACAGAAATAGTAACAGTTGATGATTTGAAATCAGAAGCTTTGGAAGCGGACTCTGAACGCAAAAAGTCTAAGAAAAAGAGTAAATCTAAGAAAAATAAGCCAGCTGAAGATGAAATTCTGAAAGCGCTTAAAGAAATTGAAGAAATCGATAAGACCAAGAAGAAAAGAGGCAAAGAACCTATTGAAGTTCCGCCTACTAACATAAATGTTAAAGACGATAAATCACTTGCGTCCAAAGCAGATACAACTCAAAAAGATGTTCAGAAAAAGAAGAAAAAAGGGCCTAAACAAGCGACTGACAGCAAGCTAAACATATTGTCCACTGAACCCATATCTGTCATCGAAGAGCAATCAAAAGAACATCTCAAAGATGACAAATACGAAACTAGCGCTGATAAAACAGTAGAAACAGAAGGAGAACAATTAATTTCTGTTTTGTCGCACGAAGTTGTGACTAATATTTGTGATAATATCGAGTCAACAGCTGATACTATTATTACACAACAAGAAGACCATGCAGGTCAAGAAGATAATGTGATCGGAGAAGAAAACAAAACTGCCTCTTTACCAAAAGATAAATTGCACGACATTATCGATGTTGAGAAGGATAAATCTTCATCACTAAAGAAAAAGAAAAATAAAGACAAACAAAAACATTCAGGTTCAACAAAATCAGAACCAGAAGATACAATAAAAATTGTTAGTCAAAATTTGCCTGAATCTGAAAACACATTGCCACAAACTGAAGAAAAACTAAAGAAAAAGAAAAAAGTCAAGAAATCTGACAAAATTCCAGAACAAGTTTTATTCGAAACAACAGATACGGTTGACATTCCTTTGGTGGAAGACATTAAAACGATTGAACCAATAGTGCTTGAAATACCTACCGTTGTTGAACAAGTGGAAGAATTTACACCTGTGCCAAAGACACAAAAGAAAACAAAAACGCCAGAACGTATAATCCCTGAAACAATGGACTTAGAAAATAAAGATTTAGAAGATCTAGACAAAGAGCAACATATTGATGAAGTTAAAGTACAGAAAAAGAAAAAGACTAAAAAACCTAAAGTTACTGACGATGAAGTAGAGAGAGCTTTACGTGAAATAGAGCAGTCTGAGACATCTAAGAAAAAACCAAAAGATAAGGGGAAGCATAAAGATAATAAGCACAAAATAGCTAAGGGAGAATCCACCATTCAAAAAGATGTTCAAGTGCCCGATAAAGCTCAGTCTGAAACACAAAGTAAGGAAGAAGAATCAACTGTCAGTAATATTGCTACGGATGCTATTCCCAAAAAGGTGATAACTATGGACTGGAATGCTTTGATAGCTGAAGAAGAAGGTATTTCTGAACCAGTTATGGAACCTATTGAACAACACGACACAACAGGTTTAGAAACAACCTATGAAACGCAACAGATTGCCACAGAAGTAACGATACTACAAGAAACCAATGAGGTTATGGATAAAAATAAAATCATATTGGATGATACTCCAATTGCTGAGACAATTGTTGAGGACAGCAAAAAAGATTTTGCAGATATTAATACCAGCACTAGTTATCAACGAAGAGATTCAAAACAACAAGAGAAAAAACAAGAGACTTCATCTGCGATATCTAGTCCTTCAAGTGAACAAAATAATAATGACAAATTTTTCTCATCGGAAGATCATAAGCGTGGTTCAATCAATATCGTAGAAGAAGTTACTCGATATGAACCGATAACTAAAGACATTGAAACGCGTACAATTTACCTAATTACGCACGAAGAAAAGAAATTACCACCAATAAGAACAGTCAAGGTTTTCAGCAGCAAAAGTAATTCATTAGAGGAACCTTCTCTTACGGATGATACCGTGTCAAACGTTACTGAGGAAAAAACTAGTGACCTAACTACTGAAGAAAAGGTGAATATTTCTGAAAATGTTGATATCACATCAACAATGGTCAGTGAAGCCTTTATATCATCTGAAAAACAATTTGAGGAATTGACTGGAATAAATAAGCAGCCAAGTGATGTCGAACTATCCAAAGATGATTATAAAAACATTCGTATGGAAGAAAAGGAAACAACAGAAATAATCAATACTAAACCAAATGAACCAGAAAATGTTCTTGAATCGCAACAGAGTGAAAACGTTGAAATTGAAAGAATCGAAACAAATATACCGATTTCTTCAACTGATAATTTAATTGATGAAAAATATCCCTCAGAAGAGCAGTTGATAGAAGAAACTCAGGTGAAGAGAAATGCTCCAGAGGATCTGCAAGACGTTTTGGAAGAAGCTATATTTGGATCAGTTCAAGATCGTAAAAAGACGAATGCAAAAGAAACATGTGACATTCCTTACCAGCAACTAATAGAAGAAGTAAAGACTTATTCACTTGACTTAGATATGAATAAGTTGGATTATAGTTATCATGAATTTATAACAAAGGAAAAAGAGAACATAAAACCTAATCAAACCATGACTACCGACAAAGAGCCAAATAAACAGTGTTCACCTGAAGAAAGTGAAAAGGATATTCTAAAACCATCTGTAGCTATCACTGATGAGATCAAGAGCTATATTTCTGACCAAAATGATATTAAAAAAACAAGCTATCACGAAATACGAGATGCAGAACTTATTTATGGCACCACAATAAAAGAAAAAATAATCAGTCAACCTTCACACCCTGAAGAAGTAGTATTGGGTGATAGTGAAAATGTTACACTGACACCAGTAGTGAAGGATACACAGCTCAGTGAAGTTGAAAAAGAGCCTTCACTAGAAAACATACAAGGTCAAGAAGTTCCAAAGGAAGAAGTGTTGAGAATCAGTTATCATGAAATAAAGGATGCTGAAAAGATTTTAGCTCAAACTGAAACAAGAGACATTATCTCTTATACGAACAATAAAACAGAATTGTCACCTGAAAAACTTCAAACTGTTCTTATTGAAACTCAAGAATCTAAAGTTAAAGACGAACAAATTGAAAGAGTTCCTGAACAAAAAGTAACTCAACCTGAACTTCAAGACACAGAAAAACTTTTACCTGTCGCAGAATCTTCAGAAGTTTTGCAAAGTGAAAAGATTACTAAAAATCTAGAAGAATCTTTGAAAGAAACTACAGCAGAAGAAATACTTTTGCAGTCTGTTTCACAAAAAATATGTAAAACCGTTACAGATAGTAACAGATTTATACAAAATGAGAAAAAACAAATGATTGATGAAGTAGATTTCAGTCAGGGACCTACAGATAATGTGCCTTCTGTGACCCACCCAGTAAGTGCACTACCAATAAAAGATGATGAAACTCTTGATACCAAAATAATAACACATAAAGAGCATGATATAAAAGTCATTTATCACGAAACTCCACGGCAAAACTATCATGAGATAGTAGACGCTGAAAAATTATTCGCAAACTTATTAACTGTGCAAAATCTTATTCAGACAGAAGTCGCTGAAACGAAGCAAGTCGAAGATGATTCTATTTCTGTATTGGAAAAAGAAGATGAAAATTTGGAATTAGACGTTAGTAAAGGAGAAGTTCCGACTTTAGCACAAGAACAAGTACAAGCGAATGAGCAAATAAATGAAACGTCACAAACAACAATTATCACTAGAACTTCTTATAAAGAAAACTCACCTGTTATGCACGACATTTTACAGGACGAACAAGAAACAAATGAGATAATTGCAGATAATCAAATTGAAGCATATGTGGCAGATGAAGTCAACGAGTCTCCTGAGACCGTTAATGTTCAACCCAGGCAGGAAGCAAATATCTATGAAGTGCCTTCATACAATTATAATGAATTACGAGATGCTGAAATCATATTTGCTCGTACGCAGGTTCAACCTGAAAACTTAAACCTTGTGTCTGAGGAAGAACCTGCAAATGATACGGCAATATTACAGCAAGAAGAAACGGTTATAGAACAAGATAATAAAGTTATTTCGGAAGATTTGATTCAATATGAAGATAAATCTGAAACGACTGATGAATCAAACCTAACGGAACAGAAAGTGTTTGAACCTATGCGTCACAGTTACAATGAAATACAAGATGCTGAAAATAAACTGGCGTTACTCTTGACAAAGAAAGTTAAGAGTATTGACGAACCGTGCATATCTCAAGAAATTACAACGGAAATCTTTGAAGATGAAACACGGGTATTAACGACAGATGCAACTGATGAGCATAACATTGATCAAGTTTTTTCTGACAGTGTTATCTTACAAACTAGTGATTGTGAGAAACCGACTATAGAAGAAACCATCTCAACTGTCAAAATCGATAAATATGATGCACCTGCTGCTCTCTCTTTAGAGACGCCGTCTTTGCCTAGTATTGAAAATTCATTTGAAGTTGATGACCTTGATAATACTCCCATACCCGTGGTGTATGGCACCTCTGAAGATAAAAACGAAGAATTAGTCACGGATGTTCCTATTACGCCCATTTCACTAGTAGAAATGGACGATATAAAATCATTGGAAGAAGAGATAAGTATTCTAGATGAAGTAACAGAAAAACCAGAGTTACTGGAAAACGTTGAAGAACAACTGACGCCCACTTTACAAGAAGAATCCAAGATAGTACAACAATCAGAGGAGAAGCTAAACATTTTGGATAGAGAAGATACGCAAGTAACGGAACAACCTATACCACCAAAAAATATTGAAGAGCAACTGATAACTGTTTCACAAATACAATCAGAGTCAATAGAACAAACGAAAGACGAAATATTGACTCCAAATAAAGAAGTTACGGAAGTAACGGAAAGATCACAAACACCAGAAATCTTTAAAAAACAGCTGACACCCCTAACACAAATAGAAACGGAGGTAATAAAGTTGTTAGAAAAAGAGATAAATGTCCCAGACAAAGAAGTGATAGAAAAAGCACAAACAACAGAAGACATTGTAAAACAATCTATGCCCGAGTCACAAGTAGAATCCGAGGTTATAATACCATCGGGAGAAGAAATAAATATTGCGGACACTAAAGCTACGCAATTAACGGAAACACCAAAAACACCCGACAATATTGTAGAACAATTAATTATTGAGCCCGCAGTCATAACTGACAGTAGGGTTGAAAACCTTCCCTTAACAGTTTCTCATCAAGATATAAACATAACAGAACAAAATGTACAAGAAATATCCACTCAAGAATTCATAAGCACAGAACAAGAAACTTTAACTCGAGAGTCGCAAGAAGGAATCATGGTTGTCTTCGACGAGCAATCTCCAAAGCCTAATACTATCTCGGCGGAATTCATTCATAGCGAATTAGTACACAAAACTGATAATCAATCTATTCCAATGACTGCCATGCCCAAGCCTGATACCGCAATAATTAATAAGACAATTGAGGTTCAATGTACGGACACGCCTATTGAGCCTTCTGAAACTGTAAACGAGTTTACTGACATTGTAGATACTAATATCTCTCTAACAGATAATTCACGCCCTGAAAAATCTCCTATACATAGTTTGCATGATCTTCTTCCTGAGATTGATTCCATTCCTGAGTTTAAACCATCTTATTCAAACACTATACTGTATTCAAAATTATCGGCTGATGCACCAGAATTCACACCATCTTATATGTACCAAAAACCTGTAACGAGTCCTGTGTCTCAAACGATAGCACCTGAAACACAAGTTGAAGATGTGACTACTGTTGAGAAAACGGAAAATAAAGAAATAATTGAAATCTTGTCTACAACACCTCAGACATCGTATTCTTCTGTCTTACAAACCAAGAAGGAAAAGACATCGCCTGAAACTGTTGTCAAGTCAGAAGAAATTGTACACCATGAACCAATTTCAGATGTGGTAGTCAAAGAGACTATTCCTGAAAAAAGCAAACGCAATAAAAAGAAGAAAAAGAAAGACGACAAGAAGGATATTCCTGTAATTCCTGATCAACAATCAGCACAACCAGCTCCAGTACCGGTTGAATCGAGTTCATTAACAACAGAACCTGTTAATGTTTGGTTAAAAGCTGCAGAAGATGGAAAGTCTTATGCTGAAGTTGTTGCAGAAGGATTGGTTGTTGAAGAAAGAGAAACGATTCAACAAAATATAGAAAAGTCATACCCACCTGTAGTTGAACCAGAATTTGAGGAGCAAATAGAAGAAATAGTGAAAGAAGTAGATATATCACTTCCAGAAGAGGATCACGGTATAGGCTCTTGGGCCAAGATAGTTGCGGCAAGCCGACCTACTCCAGAGCGAATACAAACAGAGGTTTTCAAACACCCCGACACTCAATCAGTAATACGACCACCTGTTATAATGGTTGACGAGTCAAATCCAGAACCACATAGACCAGAAATTGAAGTAGATGCTGATGGTTTCATAACTGTGGAACATAGACATAGGCGGTCTCGATCTAGATCTAGAGATAACAGATCCCAGTCAACATCCAAAACGCCACATGTGACTGAAACTCGTGATAAATCGGAGAATAGATTTGACGCTCTTACAAGCACCCTAAAACCTGACGATTTGGAACCCAGTCAAGGTACCTCGACAGAAGTTGAGAGACAACCAAAGAAAGAGAAAGGAAGAAAAAGTCGAGCATCGAAGTCAAAGGAAAAAGAAGTTGAGCCTAAAGTACCAGAAATGGTTCCAGATATATCAGATGAAGATAAACAACCACAGAAAAAAGACAAAAAGAAACGGTCATCTAAATCTACAGAGAAAAATAAAAAACCAGAAGATAAAGATACCAAAACCATCAACGATGACGACGAAGTGAAGCAAACCGATGTGGTACAAGAACCTCAAGTATCGGAAGAGAAAAAGAAGAACAAAAAGAAAAAGAAGGACAAAAAATCTGTCACAAGTACTGAAAAACCCGCAGACACAGCGTCTCCGGACATTTTGTCTTCCACTTTGCCAAAAAAAGAAGAGATTGAACTTAAATCAAAACCAGAAATTGAAATAAAACAAGAAATTGAAACAAAGCCAGAAAATGAAACAAAACAAGAAATTGAAACAAAACCAGAAATTGAAACAAAACAAGAAATTGCCACAAAACTAGAAATTGCAACCAAACCAGAAACTGCAACAAACCCAGAAATTGGAACAAAACCAGAAGTTGAAAGAAAAACAGAAAGTAAAATATTATTCAAGTCCCTTGAATCACCTGTTTCCACTCCTGAATCAATGCATACACCTATTAAAGACAGACTATTCTCAGAAGCGCAGTTCTGGAAGGATGATGTAAGTAACTTGGACGATCTATCAAGTCTTTCAAAGGTTCTTCCTGTTGATGAACAGCAGTTATTAGGAAACACGACTGAAATAATAAAACCAGAAATGACAGACATGCCTGGTATTGAAAAAGTCACTGAAAGTGATATTCCTGAAGATAAGATTACTGTCCCTGAATTTGTTGATATTCAAGAAAAAATACAATCATCTGAAACTACCCAAAACTTACACGAATCAGAGAATAAAATAACAGAAGAACAGTCTCTTGAGAACAAAATGGCTGATTTACAAAGAGAAATTGAGGAAATGCTATTACCTGAAAATGACTCCTCGCAAATTAGCGATGGTACTCCAAAAGAATTAACCGATGTTCAATGCTCGATAGACTACCCACTTGATGAAGTTTTAGACAGCATAACACCTTCACTTGCATCCCCAGATCCAGAAGATGAATTATCGTTTGAAACAAAAGAACCTGCTCAAGACATTTCATCTTATGACCGAGTTATAGAACACGAGCAAATATTACAAATAGAAGAAGATTTGGACACTAAGCATATTAGTGTGAGCATGATTGATTCGATACTCAGTGAAGCTGATCCTATAATAAATATACGACAAGTTTTAGGAATTAAAGAAACAGGAAAAGAAATAACAGAAATCTCTGGCACATTAAGTGAAGTGCAAAACGTAAAAGATGATACAGTACAATCTCCTACACATGTATTAGATAATTTGGATGTAACGGAATCATTTGACACTGCACCTACTAACATTGAACCGAATAATACTAACGAATCATTTTTGAAATCCGAAAACTTCTGGATCAACAAACACGTAGTCGATGACGCGGAAAAGTTAGGCGCCGAGCTTAAATCTTCTGCAATAACTGATGACTCTGCGAATATAACACAATCTATTCCTAGCCCAGAACCCGAACCAGTAGTTGATGACTTACGTAGCTTTGAGGAAAATGTTGTTTTGGATAACTCATTCTGGCCTGACAAACACGTTTATCACGACGCTGAATGTCAATATTTCCTTAAAATGGCTAATAAACCTAAAGAATCATCTCCAGTTAGGACAGAAATAGAAAACAAAGATGAAAACGATAAAGATAAAGACCCAGGAGGCAGTTCCGGTCATTCCTCTGAAACAGAAGAACCAAAAGACCCTTGTAGTTCTCCCTTCGATTCCAACTACATGTCCATGGACTTGCCCGGTGGCATGTGTAGTTGGAAAGACCATAGTTCCTATTTAAGCTTAGAAACGCCGACTGACTCGCTGACGGGTCTACCGAGCGAGGCCTCGCCGCGAGTAGGCCCTGACACCCGGGAGGATATACTAACCACCACACCTCTAGAACCAGTCACCCCACCCCCACCCCGACAGGAGCCAGCGGCAGAGGAAGCGCCTCCGAGGAGAGCCAAGGTGACTGACCGCCAGGCGTATTGTACAATTTTACTCTTAATTTATGTTTGGCATGACATTATTACTAAATTCTTAATTTCACTTATTACAAGACTCTGTATCGTGAAGTGTCGTATAGCAACGCCAAATTTGCCGTTCGTCTTGTAGTGCCAATCTTTGGCATGCGATGTAATGTTGGAGTAGGAATTACGCATTTGGATTTATTATTAATCAATTGATGTAGTGTGTTATTAATCTAGTCGTATATCTAGTCAGATCAATATCTTAATTTAAACGATAGATCTTTTCGATTACAACAACAATGTTTCTAGTCTTACAATGGTCTGAATTTTATTTACTGTAACAATAAAATAAATGTTTGTGAAGTTCTTGTTTTATTTAAAGTTTGATTATTTTTAAAGCCCCTTTTTTGTTACAAGGATGCTAAAATTGGTAACTATGAGACGACCGACAAAATATTGATGCTTTTTTTCTAGATTTTATTTGGGCTTAGCAATGAAAATGCAGTACCTATTTACACTACTTCAGATTTCCAATTTATTTGCTCAGGTTAGTTGTGCCTGCATCAAAATTGTAAGATGTTTTTAAATGCCCCTTGTATTCATAGCTAGAAATTTTATTTTGATGTTAAAATATAATGGTCCTGTAGTTGACCCTTGTTCATTCATAATACTTTATGTTAAGCATTACGAAAGTATTTGGTTTTATTTTTTTTACAAAATACATTACACATTTTTAAGAATGTGTTTAACAGTACAATGTTTCAAATTGATAAAACTATTAAAAATAATAAGTTCAACAAAGTAAGCTCTTGATGTTGGCTTATCGATGTTTTATGGATTCAGCCACAAGCTTTTGAACACGCTTAACTTACCAAAGCTAACTTATTAAATATTACGCAAAATTACTTTAGGGGAAGTTAAATTGGCACACCAAAGTTTTTATAACATCGTTCGTTTTATTTACTTAGGTTTTCAACTAAAATAATTTTGTGTTATAAAAATCCAATCCCTTTTTTGTTCAATTTTAATTTTTTGGCACATTGCCAGCACGTGCAAGTTTTGTAAAACATCTTTGTAATTGAATTTGTTCATATCAGACTCATTTTTAATATTGCCAAAATGATGAGATCACTTTGGATTTCATTTATGTTATCTTTCAATTTGAATCAGCACAAGCCGCTTTCAAATCTGCTTTAAATATTTATAATAATCAATTCAGATTGTGCAAAATATCACAGAGACTGTTCAAAATTAATCCTTACTTTGTTGAACTTAGAATTTGGAATCTGCCACCAAATACTAATCTACCTGCAGGAATGCGTAGCACCATTACAATGTGTTGTATGATTATTCAGAGAAGCCCTTTTACGTTTGATCGAATGATTCCTGCTACAATGTAATTTTGCGCATGTCATGCTAAGACAGAAGTTTTAACTAATAAGTTTGTGAATTTATGTTGTCATTGTGTAGCTAACAGAGTCCTTATTGGAATGCTAGCGTGTTCTGCCAGAATGTTTTCCCTTTTTGAACCATCATCGTCAACGTGGAACATGAATGCTTTAGATTCATTTACATTTCTGAAATCATTTTTTTTTATCATCTGCAAGCTTCTTGTTCCGCGTTGCATCTTTTTTTTTGTTTACTAATCTCGGCGTGTGTTCTCAGGATGACTTGTCTAACGATATTGAAAGTCTGCTAGAAGAAGTGAGAAATGTTCAGACACGTCTCTCAGATCTGCCCGATGAAAGCCTACACGCCATGGAGGAGGGTCTCAGGGTGAGTTCCATTGTAAATACACCATTTTACACGGAAATAACAATCCCAAGTCCTACTGACGCTACCGTGAATGTAGTTTCCATTATAAATTTAGACGAGCGCCCGTTTAAGCCGTGGTTATGCGTTCTCGTACTATTCTTGGATACATTCGAACGAGTTGTTTAAATTCAAGCGAGCCAGAAATTTTGCCGAACCTCTGATATTTCAACAAGTTCTCAAAAATTACAAGTAAACAAAACTAGAATTATACATACATCACTCATAAATATAGTTAGTTACGTCATTGCTAATATTTGTCTTTTATAGCTTATGATGGTATAACATCTGTAAATAATTACATGGCCTTGACAGTGAATTTATCCATGACTATCGTTTGTTTGGGCCATCCATGATGTCACCTATGCACATTGTGTTACGAAATGGAGTTAATAATACTCAAGTAGTGTTTGGCATCTCTCAGTAGGGCACTAGCATACGAAACCGGCGGGCAGAGGCTGCGAACGACTCAAGTGACAATCGAACTAGTGGTAGTTTGTTATTGTGTTATAGACATCATTCTCTACATTGTATTCTCTATATTTAGTGATGCATCTGAACAGTTGAAAAGTGCAAGTGATTGCCATAGTTTTGAAAATTGTTGTGGATTATTTGGGATACCCATATTGTAAAAGGTAATCTTTAAGTTTTTAAACAGTATAATTATAAAATCATACGATATACCAATACGTAATTCAAACATTAATTTATTTAATTAAACAATATTATAAATCCTGCGTCTCATAGCATAGATTCCAGTTTAATAATTAAAAGTTTTGTCACATTTATATTAAGGAATGCAATCATAGTATGAACACAAAATAGTAAACAAAGGCCTTCAATATTCAAATTGTTTTCTAAGTCGACGGCATAAGAGCTGCTCTTAATTTTACTCAAGGTATTATGGCGGTCTGTAATAAAACGTGCTGTAATTTTCAGTTTTACGATGCTATTCGGCACCATTATTCTAAAATACCTACTTAGGTACCTATTTTTATCGACAGGCATGACTCATAGTGTGCTCATAGTTATTACAGTTTGATGAAAGTCGCATCACTAATCGAATTAAATTTGCATAAGGTGGCAATTGTATTTTTTCAAGTTATTTAAAAATTTAGATTGAGATGCGACTCTTAGACCTTAAATATGCGCTAGAAAACAAAATAATTATCAAAACTTTAGGACTATACCAAATATTTATTTTGTGTCAATTCAATATTTGCATTTAAAGCTAGTATTGTATTATGTAACATGGAACCTCGTCTTTTTTAAATCGATTGTAAATATTTCTATGATCCAATCTTAAACATTTAAAAATAGCATTCAGTCTGTAGGATTACTTGATATAATTTAAGCCCATGTGCCACATAAATAAGCCCAAGAACACCAACATGCTCCACTCCATCAATGCCGTGAGAAATAAGTGGGTCAAATGTGGACTCGCCTCTGAACACACAAATAGACTGTCCTAGCAAGTTTATAAATTACGTTTCTGAGAACTCGTATAAATATGAATATATACAATTTGTACACAATAACAGAACATGATGTCATGGGCGAATAACAAACAGGTAGAGATAAAAAGTTGTATTTACTTAGGTTTTATCATTGAAACGGAATTACTCATTTCTTAAATTAGCATTCCTGTACGTGCACTTACGTGTATGATGTATTGAGACTTGGGACGCTTAGGCAGGTACAGAAGTGTTAGCCTATTAGAAACTAAAATGAGATGAATAAATCTTTCATCCAATGTGTTTCAAACATTTTCGATACTTGCACTTTTAGCATTAAAAGTTCCCACAGTGAGGTAATGGATTTTTTCAAGTAAAAAAAAGACTTGCACTTATATTTCCGTAATATTTTTCAATAAATATGCAATAAGCTGTAAACGCGCGCAAGGGAGATGAGCCAATGCTACTCTCACGTTCATTCCCGCATTATCACCTGTTATACCTAAACTGAAACTGGACAGCGAGCGACTTATTGGCCATAGATTACAAATATTTGACGCCAATAATAAGCTATTTGATTTTTATTGATTGATGATTTTCTTTTATTTTCCAGGAGGGTATAACAGTTCTAGTCAAGTGTGAGGAAGCGGCCGAGCTTCTGGAGACGAAGATTATGGAGTACCGGCAGGAGCAAGAGGTGCAGGTCTTGCTGAAGGACCTCATCGTGATGAAGGCTAGAATCTCCAAACTATTGGTCCAAGCCCGTCAGGGACTTGACGTCATCAAGGTAAGAAAGGTACTTATTATTTTTTTCTTTTTGGTTTGATTTTAATTACTTACTTTATATTTTCGAGTGATTTTTTTTTTCTATTTTTATACTGTAACTTATTTTTTTTTATTCTTATACTGGATGTATACTTACTACATGTTTATTTCACTCCGTCAAGTAAAAATGATCTACTCTCAACATTTTTTTTACTTAATATTTCAGGACGCCAAAGAAGAAATGGCGCGACAAGCGATTGAGATTGAAGCAAATAAGGAGAAAATAATTAAGTTGGATAATTGGCTTGAATCAATTAATAACGAGCTAAAAGAATCTACTAAGCAATCAGACGTTTTGACTGAAGAGGATATAATTAAGTATATTGAAGTTTATGAGAAATATATCAGAGAATACGAAGAGTATGAGATTATATTGAAATCTATCACTGTGATAAGTAACGATGAATCTAGTCAGTCTCTGAGAGATAAGTTGAATGCGATGCAGAGAGCGTTAGAAGAAACAAAGAATCTAGTCATTGTAGAGATAGAAAGGTTGAGGCATGTACTGGTGCAGATCAGATCTGCACCAGAAATTGCCGAAGATGACATTTCTCAAACGGATAGAACAATTGATTCTACTTCTATGCCCGAAGAAGTTGTTAGTCCAAGGGAAAGTGAACTAGTTAAAGAAGAAGTGAAAACGATTGCTGAAAAAGTTCCATCGGAAGAGAAGACAAAAGTTGAATTAATTGAAGAGATACCTAAAATGACAATAGAAACACAAACAGGAAAAAGTCTTATGTCAGACGCTCCATCGGTGGCAGACAAGTCTATCATTTGCCAGCCCGATCCTATTACAACCCACGATGTTTCAATTACTTGTGAACCACCAAAGGAAATTGAAGTTCAAACAAGTGAGCCCCAATCTCTCGAAAAAGAAGTCCTTGAAAGTATTCAAGTCAGACAAATCATTTCAGACGGTCATGAAACTATAGAAATCGCCAGTAGGCCAGTTATGAGAGAGCAAAAGATGGACGAACAATCCTTGTTTGTTGATGCTAATTACAAAGACAATAACGATCTCAAAGACTCTCAACTTAACATCATCCATAGTCTACCTCAATCATTCGAAACTGTCATGGTAGAACCAGATGAAACAACAACAGAAGTTGTTGTTGACGCTGATGGCACCAAGAGAATTATTGTAAAGAAAATACGAAAAACATTGGTAACAAGACAGCAAACCATTCAAACACGACAACAACAATCCCAAATACTCTCTGGCGAAGGTACTCAGGATATGTTATCGCAAGTGATTTTAACGCAAGACACTGGATCGACATCTAGACAAGACGATGATGGTGTTCAACACATCCAATATCAAACTCACGAAGGTAAGATTATTTCTACTTTACCGGGCGGAGAGGTTACAATCCAAGAGTACACATCGAAACCAGATATCGTAATAAAAATGCAAAAAGACATGAAACCAGAAGAGATTCTTCAGCTTGCTGAAGGTGAAATTCGACCTGACATACAGACATCATCCTCAAGCGTGACTGCTGTTGTGCAGCAGGTTACCAAACGAATTGTGAAAACCCGCCGCCGTATTATACGACGTGTGGTCATAATTGATGGTAAAGAACACGTCACTGAAGAGGTGATAGAAGAACCTGACAATGTTGAGATATTTGAAGAACAAATCCCAAGAGTTTCTATCAATGTAAGAGATATTGGTGGTGTGCAATTTGAAGAAATTGACGACTCGCAGGGCAAGGACGATAAACCGCCTCTAATGCCACCTGATTCAAGAACTGACAGAAAATCGCCAAAAGACGACAAATCAGATGATTCTAAACCAGACGATGACGATCAAAAGGATATTGGTAAACCCGTCGTAACCCAGTATGATGATGCTCCGTCAGATGTACAAAACTTGAAGGATTTTATGGCAGAATTCATCCAGAAAGAAACTGATCATTTGATGGGAACTCATTTGGCGGAGTCAGAAACTAGTGTCCGCAAATCTGTAAGTAGAGAAAGCACACCAGTCATTGTATCAATGTCAGAAAGTCATGAGGGGCCCATAATTACGTCCCAGACATTTACACCAGTGTCTCAAACACCACAAGAAACACAAACAATGTACAGTGGAATACACACAGGGCAATATAGTACCACAGAAGTAAGATCAAACACTGCCACTGTGGTACAAAAGATCACGAGAAAAATTACCAGAATTAAGAAACGAATAATCAAACATATTCAGATAATTGACGGCAAAGAACATGTCACAGAAGAAGTGATTGAAGAACCTGAAGATGTTGAAATAATTGAAGAAGAACCCAATGTCATTCATAACGTGCAATCTCAAGGTGTCCGGACTAAACGGATTAAGATCATTCGACAAGTTCAGATCATTGATGGCAAGGAACACGTCACAGAGCAAGTAGTAGAAGAGCCTGATGACGAATATATTCCGGAATCAACTATGACAGCTGAAATCGATGTTAATATAAGCAAACAGCCTATTACTACTGAAAAGGTAGAAATAAAAGAAATATCTCCTGCAATTGTAAGGCCAGATAACATCTACAAATCAGAAACAAGTTTGAAAGAAGGAATTGTCGAAATTCCGGATGATATCCAACAGGAGCATAACATCGTTTCTGATACATCTGGTTTAACGATTCCAGAAGAATCTCATCCAAGCGGAGAAGTTATCACAACACTGGAGACATCAACCACTCCACAGGTCTCATCTCCTAAGGATAAAGTTTCGGAGTCTATGTTGGGTGCAGAATTCGATATTAAACCTACATCTCCCAAAGATAGTTCACTTATTGACGCTACCAAAAATTTGCTTGGAAGTGAAATTGATCATCATTCTTTAGTGGTAACCCAACATGAAAAAGTAACAAAACCGCAAGATGGATTAACAGCAGAAATATCTAAATTTGAACAACCTGATCATCATTCTTTAGTAGTGACCCAACATGAAAAAGTAACAAAACCGCAAGATGGATTAACAACAGAAATATCTGAACTTGAACAACCTAGTTTCGTTGCAATGTCAGAATTACGAACAGTTGAAACATCAGAAAGCAAAGATTTACAATCAGCACATGATATTAAATCAGTTGAAACTCGAGAGACACCTGATGATACAAAATCTAAAATTGAAATACTTGATTTAACAGAAAAAACTGACAAACTTATAACAAAATCACTACCTGATGTTAAAAATCCTGCCAAAATATCAGCAAAACAAGAAGTAAAGGAGCAAGACAAACCTGCAGAAAACGTTGAAACCACAACAGAAATATCGGTTGCTAAGGAATTCACTTTGGAACCACATTCGAGAAAATCTTCTGACGTGCAAGATTTTACAAAAGAATTTTTAGAAAGAGAAAGTGTGCACAGTACTGGCCTTAGAGTTAGTGAACCAACCCAGATACCGACAAAATCGGACATTGCTTTATCTCCACGAGAACAAAGTCCAAGTGCACCAGAAATCGAGAAAATGACAAAACCTCAAGAGACAGAATCTGTAGATACATTTATCTCTGAAACAACACAGGTTCAGGAGACACTCGATAAACATCCTAGCGATGTCGCAGAACATGGAGTGGTTTCATTAGTTAAAGAACCTGAAGATGTTAAAAAAGATGCAGTAATCTCACCTACGGAAGACATTCCTACATCAACCACTTTTGTCCTCACTGAAGAGCATGCACTGCTGCAATCGGATTTAACATTGCCACAACAGGCTGAAATAGCTGATACTACACAAAAATTGCTTCTGGAAGAAAGTGTAAAGAAAGAACAATTTGATGAACCAAAAGAAACAGTGACTAAGGAGGTGACTGTGATATCTGAACCACAAAAACCAGATAATGAAGATACAATTAAAATACAAGAAGCAGAAAAGCCAAAAAATATTGAGGGTTCAACTAAAATAGAAATCAAAGAAACCCCAGAAATTACTACACAAGTATCGACCAAAGAACCTATAACTCAATTGGGAGTAGAAGTGCAACCACTTAAAGTTGGCAGTATTGTCACCGAGACGGACGTCTCGTCCGTTCCAGCTATAACAGAAATTTCGTACATACAACAATATGAGCCACAAATTCAAAGCTCTACAGATAGTGTAGATAAGCTGTTGGCTTCCACACTGCCTCAATCTCAACCAAACGTCAGTATAATGCCATCAGATGTATTAGAAAAAGGTCAACCAGAGCAGCAACCTGATCGAAAATATGACATCAATTTGTTACTTGAGTCAGAACGCCATGATACACACTTGCGTGGCCACGACTATAAACCCTCGCGACCAATTGATATTAAAGAAAATGGCAGTGAGCCAGAATTGAAGAAAATTGACCCACAAGAATCTCAAAAAACCGTTGACATATCAACATCCATTATAAAATCAGACTTTTCAACAACGCTAGAGCCCAAAGTTCAAGTGGACGTAACATACGAAGGTTTTGAGCTTCAAGAACCAGTTTTAGTGATAAAAGACATTGAAGTTATTCTACCAAGCGAGGTTCAAATCACCAAAGAATTTACAGAACCAAAAGTAACAGATATACTAGAAAAAGACCAACCTATAAGTGAAGTTCCTGTTCAAGAACCCTGTATATTACCAAGCGAAATTAGCATTCCAAAAGACGATGAGGATTCCAGTGCAAAACAAAAAATTGAAGATGCAAAACCTGTTTTTAAAGCTACGCCTGAAATAACAACTGTAACTGAAAGAGACATAGGTACTGAAACCGAAATCATTGCAGAAGAACCACAGGAGTCTCAACAAACTGTTGATATCAGCACAACTATCACTAAAACTGACGTTATAAAAGCAGTACAACCCAAGGTAAAAGTTGATGTTACGTATGAAAGTCTTGAAACCACTGAACCTGTTTTGGTTAAAAAGGATATTGAAGTTATACTACCTAGTGAGGTTAAAATAAGAAAGGAGATCAAGGCACCAAGTGTGGTAGAAGTTATTGAAAAAGAACAACCCGTTGTTGAACCTACTCCTGAAGCACCCGTTACAGTTGAAGCTATAGAGAAAGGTCCATCAACTGCAGAATCTCCCCAGGAATCAATCAAGGAATCCAAGAAAAGTAAAAAGAAAAAGAAACACAAGCGTGGCTCAGGCAGTGACTCAACTGAAACTGAATTACCAACAGAAGCCGATAAGAGCTTAACAGAAACTGAAAGTTCTTCATTAAGCCATTACGTACAATTACCTTCCTCGCCTAAAGTTCAATCACCAAAACCTACAAAAGACATTTTGGAGCCGTCAGTAGAAGAAATTGTAACAGAAATCGATTCACCATTAGCTGAGTCTGAAACTATTGTTGAAGAACAAGGATATGAAGCAGAAGATATGTCTTTAGAACCAGCACCTGTCACCGATAAGAAGAAAAAACATAAAAAACGTAAGCAACAACCGAGTGAAGTCACGACGTATCCAAAACAAAGCACGGCTGAATCAGATCAAACAACTATAACTACACCAATAGAGCTTGGTGAACCGACTGTTGGGAAAAAGAAGGATAAAAAACGTAAGAAGAAGCATTTATCTGGATCAGATTCTGTACCAGAACCTGAAGAGCCCGAAGTTGAACAAAAGCCTGAAACACCAAAGCTCGGCAGTGAGATAGTAGAATCTTCTCCACGAGAAGAATCTTATCATACAATGAGCGAGACATCTGATATCAGTACAGTTAAAATAGTGGAAGAATGTATTCAGAGCAGTCCAGAAACCCTACAAAAAGAAGTGACCACCACTGTTACATACCCCGTACCTGTAGTAGAAGAAGTTCTTACTCAAGAATACTCAGTTCAAACATCGCCGGAACTTTCTGTCGACACAACAGTAGAAGAACCGGTTGAAATTGCAAAACCTGAAACCACTGACACTGTGTTGCAGACTTCTCCAACGCCAGTGAGTGAATCTTTGGTACAAACAACACCTATAGAAGACAAAGATGTCCATACACAGACTATTGAAGAAGTTACAGTGGTTGAAAAGGTGCAAATGTCCGATTCAGAAATGCAAACGAGTCGTGTTGAGAGTCCAGAACCTGTCATACAATCTGAAGCTACAACACAGGTTCTCCCTCATGATATCTTTACCCCCGAAGAAAAATTCTCTCAAACTTCATCCCCTCTTGAGGAACGTAAAGAAGAAAGCCCTGAAAAGATTTCAATTGAAACGGAATCTAGGGAAATGCAAACATCACCATTACCTCAAATAGAAAAGGATGAAAAGAGTACGGAAATAACTATTGAAACTACTGAAATGGATATTCAAACAGTGAAACAAGATATCACTGATCAAGAAACATCTACTACGCCTGTTAAAGAGAAAGAAATGGCAGAAATGAGTATTCAAACTCCAGAAGTTCCTTTAGTCAGTACTTTCACCCAATGTGAAGAATTTGAAACCAAATTAGAACAAACAGTTGATGAACAAGAACCTAAAGAAGAGATTATTACAATAGACACAAGTCAGCAGACATCTCCTAGAGTTGAGACAGTTGAAGTGCCTTCGACTATTGAGCTAGATATTGAAAAACCTGAAATAATAACTGCAGAAATTTCACAGCAAACATCCCCGAGGGTCACTGAAGATGTCAGTGCACAGCCATCATTAGAAATGGAAGCACCAGAAGTAATTACTGTAGACAGCACTCAACAAACATCACCGCGCGAACTGCCTGAAGACTCAGCTCCAATAGTAACTTCGGAAGAAAAGAAACCCGATATCGATACTGTTGACAACGCCCAACAAACTTCACCTAGGATTATTCCTGATGAAACGCCTGAACCAAAGACAATAGAAGTGGCTGAAATTAAGACCATTACAATTGACAGCACACAGCAGACTTCTCCGAGGATTGTTGAAGAAGATTCAACATTAGTGCCACCATTAGATCTGACTAAACTAACTATTTCAAGTGTTGACTGCACACAGCAAACGTCACCTAGAGCTGTTCAAGAAGAATCTATTTTAGTGCCTACATTAGAACATACGAAACTGGACATTAAAACCGTAGACAACACGCAGCAAACTACACCGAGGGTAGAAGAGGAAGCTGTTAAACCGGCTGAAACAAGAAAATCTGAGCTACAGCTTGATCTACAGAGAAGAGAAATCACTACTGTAGATACAATTCAACAAACATCACCGAGAACATTCTCTGAAGATTCCATCTCTACTTCGACAGATGAACCGTATGAAGTTCATTTACGAGCACAGATCTCAATACCACAAGCGACAACTGATTTAATTGAAAGTGAGAGGCAGTTCGATGAAACGCCAAGTCTTAGTGAGAAGCATAAACAAAAGAAACGAAAACATAAGAGAAAGGCGGATTCGACTTATGTCCACTCACCTGAAAGTCTATCGGATCCTATTAACAGTGAAATGTCGGTGTCTATTACACCCACAAGTGAGGACATATCCAGCAAAGACACTTCATCTATAGATGAAGGCATATCACATTTGAGCAGCCCTATACAAACTATGCCTCAAGACTTTGGCGTTTCTCAACAAAGGCCAACTTACTCTGACGTTGTTCAAAGATCAAAATCTAAATCGCCATCTCCGAGTAAAACTATTGTGTCGCAGAAATCCGAAAAGGCTAGATTACTGGACGCCCTTGAAAAACGCACACAATCAGTTACTGAACCACAAAAGACCACCGCCGATGAATCAATGGTGGTGGCATTGTATGAACCGTCAGTAGAGAAATCGTATGATCTCATTGTTAACAAGGAATTGGACGAGGTTAAGAATGCAGTTAATAGCAATGATCCACGACGAACTGAAAGGAGTATTATTATAGTGATTGAAACTATATCTATCTGGTTGGAAGAAATTCAACTTAAGATCCAGAAAGAAACGAATATTGAAAATAGGCAATCTGAAGAAAGTGAGAGACTTCAAGCATTGAAAAAATATGTTAAGAGCTTAAAAGAAATTATAGAAGTAACAGAAATTAATGAAGAAATCATCACTTTAATTGAAACTTTGACCCTTCAAGTAGACGCTGTTAATAAACTTAACAGCCAAAGTTCTGTGAAAGTAAAGGAAGTTGAGAAGGACTGGCAAAAGTTTTTGGATGAAACTGAAAAATTGAGCCAATCTGTAGAACGCGTGAAAACCAGTCTTGATAAGGTTATCGTATCAGACGCACCAACACAACATAAACTTGACTCATTAGACCAAATTGAGCTAGAAAATATTGATAATTCTGACAGGGTTCAAAAGTTATTCAGAAGATACCGCTCATTTGTAGACGTAAATCTAAAACGAGAATGTCCACCAAAATTATATGCCTGTGATGATGATACTAAACAAATTGACAATACTCTTAATACTGAAAGAGATAGGCTATTGCAACTAACATCTTTGGCAGAAGAATACGAACAAACACTACAAGATTTTGGCCAAATTACTGATGTAGCTGAAGCTTTGTTAGATGGTAAAATCATTGTTTCCAACTTAGACCATTTGCATGAAGAAATACAAAAGCATAGAAAGTTCTTCGTCAATCTCAGCCACTGTAGGGCTATTCTTGAATCCTTAGAAGATAACTTAGACAGCGAAACAAGAGCAAAGTATGCGTCGCTCCATAATTCACTACATGATAGAGCAACTGTTATCATCGACCGAGCGGCAAGTAGAGCACAACAAATGACACTAGCTGCTTCTAGATGGACATTACTAGAGCAAGGAATGAAAGAAGAAAAGCAGTGGCTCGTTGTTGCTCAACAAAGAGTACCCGACCTCACTAATGTAACATCCATGGACCATGAACAGTATATCAACTTATATCAGTCAATTAGTTTGGACGTATCTCATCACTATGCAAAGATGTTACGTTTGCTGTCCATAACAGAAGGACTCCAAAATCTGATTGTATGCTCAGGCTTAGAAACCGAATGTTCAGGAGCATTAGATACGTTACTTGCACTTCAAGATGACGTCGATTCTAGGCTTACTCGACTAACAGCATTTAAAGAAAATTGGTTAACGTATGACCACCTCATTGACAGAATCGAAAGTTGGATGAAAATAGCAAACAGAGAATTAGAATTCATTTCTCCGGAAAATATTAATACAACTGGCAATTTACGTCGTTTCTGGGAGTTGAAAGCTCAACATGAAGTTCATAATAATTTGAAGAATGAATCTGGCACACAATTTGAAAGAGCATTAGAAATTCTTCCAATTTCTGATGAAATGAGCCAGCGACAATTCTATTCCAAAATCGAAGACAGATGGCGTGACTTAGCAACCAGAATCGGTGATCTACACAATACGGCCATCCAGAATATTTCCGATCGCGACTTATCATCTGGTGAGAAGCTTAACATTCTCGAGGATGAACTGAGAGAATTGCGATCATCATTGGACAGTCTGAAAGGAGTGATCAAGAGCGAAGACGAATTGAATTTGTACATCGAAAGACTGCAGGTAATGAACGGACGTGTTGACAGGATTCTGGATGAGCTTGGAAGACTGAGTTTGCTGCCGACAGCAGAATCCGATCGCGTGGGTGCTCTAATAACGCAATCAGGAATACTGGCGGATCAGATATCTGAAGAGCTTGAGCGCAGCTTGTTGCTGAAGGAGAAGATTGTGCAAGTGCAGACTGGCATTATGCGATCTCAGAAGAGCCAGCGCCGCACTCGCCAAACACTGGAAGAGTGTGAAGCGGCTGAACGACTGGGCAGCGATGTCGTCGAGCGCGCCGCTGAAAACTGCGAAAGGCTTCTGGACGAGCTGTCATCGCAGTGGCGCGATATTTTGGCGCTGAGACAAGCTCTGCACACACTACCAACCAGTCTGAGGGTCTGCGTCTCGCCTACTGGCGTGGAGAGAGACATATCAGCGTTACAGGTAAGAATCCATTTAATTTACTCAAACAATAAAGTCACTCAGTTGAGAATCATAATATAAGTTGTTTCAAGCGATTATTCGCATTTCATTCGTCTTAGTCCGAATAAAATCACCTTTTTAGTTTGGGTAATAATTTTGCTTAGTTTAGGACTAGAAGACGTAGTGTAAAACGTCCAAATTAATTATTTTTAAAACCTTTAGATTAACCCCATTTATGTACTTCAGGAAACCCACGCGGAGCTAGAAGTGGCGGTGAACGATCTGAACCGCCGACTTCGGGCCAAAGTGCAGCTGTGGCGGCGCTTCGAGCGGCAGCTGGAGCTGGTGCAGGGCGCCGTGCGCGAGGCTGACTACATGGTGGAGCTGCTAACTGTGCAGGGGCAGGTGGACTACGACCGCCTGCTCAAGGCCACCGAGAAACTCGAGGTACGATCTTATTTCCAATATGGCTTCATGCTGGTTACATGTATAGAGTCAATGTCATTTATGTCATATTAAAAGATAATATCAAGTAGACAAATTATAAATATAAATGACTAGCTTTCCGCCCGCGGCTTCGGATCGTCATAAATTATAGCCTATAATTATGTTATTCTGAATTATGAACAATAATACTATAAAGTTTCATCAAAATCCGTTCAGTGGTTTTTGAGCCTATTCATTACAAACATACAAAAATAGGTACAAATCTTTCCTTTTTATAATATTAGTATAGATATATTGATTAAAGATAGATGATATCTCCGCGCTTTTCACGAATTTCAGTAAAGATGGCACTTTACCCTTCAGTAGGATGGAACATAAACTGATAATAATGTGAAAGATGGTGTGTGATGTGGTCGAACACGACTGCCTCTTTGGTAGCGCGGCACTGGCCACCAAGAAACCGCGTTCTTTTTTCTCGACAACCAATATCGTTATTCTTTTGTTTTTTTCTCTCGCTCACGGCCCTCTAATTTTCACGACTCAATTGTGTAATTTATATTTTATAAATAATTGTAACATTTTTTATGGAGTAAAACTTTCTATGAAACACGAAGTACGCATACACACACATTTTAGACAGGCTCGAGCCACTAGTGTGTTTTTTACGACGTCATAAATAAGCTGAAATTCCTTACAAATTACAAGTTACAAAGACATTAGACAATATATTCATTATCCACTTACCCCACAGACGCTGAGCGAGTCGCTCACACGGCGCAGCGGCGAGCTGGTGGGCGAGCTGCGTGACGCGGCGGCTCCTCTCGAAGCATCAACGGAGCCGAGCGTGGCCGCCGCGCTGCGCCGCGAGCTCGACGACGCCGCTGCTGCCTACCACCACACCTGCGCCAACCTCACGCAGCTGTGCGACAAGTGAGTGCACCTGGAAAGCAGAGCCGTCTTTAATAATAATAATAATATAATAATAAATAGTATTTATTTTCTCATCACAAACATTACAATGACACAAGTTTTTAAGCACATTAATTACAATTCAAAAACAAAGTTGTTTGTGTGAGACTGATGCCTATTGCCTGTGATAGGTATTTGCATACCTGTAGTAGGTACAGGTCATCAGGCTCCCACCACCCCAGATATTGGCACAATTTATAATTAATTAGAGAACCGATATTATATTATATTATTGACTCAGACATGGTAGTGAATTAGTGATGTATGGCAAGGATTACAAGGGCAGCGTATTAACTATTAATTAGACTAATTAACCTAATTAAGAAAGGAAAAGGAACACTAGGATTTGTTATTGTAGTGTGTGTGTATGTGTGTGTGTGTGTGTGTGGGTGTGTATGTGTATGTGTATGTGTAACCTACTAGGGGCCCTGGGCATTTAAGGATCTTAAGGATTAAGAGGGGGGCCCTCATCATCTGGAAAAAGGACTTATTGGCAGATGGGGGCCCCCTCAGTCGCGGGGCCCTGGGCACGTGCCCAAAGTGCCCAGCGGGAAAGAGGCCTGCTGAAAAGTTAAAGTAGATGATAGGTGGATGCAGGCCGCTACCAACGGTGCGATGTGGAAGTCATTGGGGGGGGCTATGTTCAGCAGTGGACGTCCTGTGGCTGAAATAATGATGATGATGATGATGATAGGATGTAGCAGTGGACCGACGATCTACGAGCCACGATAGCCTAACGGTGAAGGGGTCGGAGTGGCCGACTCGAGATCCGAGGAACGCGGGTTCGAATCCCACCGCGCCGCTCGACTATTGTGGTGAGCCCACTCGTAACACAAGCCTATTTAGCTTACCACGAGGGGCTAATGGGACTATTAGTAATACGGGCAGTACAAATTCCTAACAATATTTTTTTTTTAAACAAAACAAAATCAAGATCTGGTGGAGATAGCGCAAGCACCTGGATGTGGACAGCGCATAACCAGCAGTTATGGAACGCAATAGAGATCTATCTCTTACACCATAGTAGCACATTTTCAGTGGTCGTGGCATACCGGAAACAATTTGGTTGCTCAAATAAGCTGATAATGAGTTTTCTCTACATAACTTTATAACAATCGCACTGATTGATGCCGCCGCCATGGTGTTCTCAGTCCAGAAAGGCACTTACACTGGCTAAAATGCTGCCAGGCCTAGTGGATTAGCTACCGGAGCATGGAACAGCATAAAAATAGCAATAAAACTTTCACGCGCCCCGGCGCCTAGTAATTTGCTTACAGCAATTGCATTTTTCCTAAACATTTGTACCAGTCAGACCTCTAACCGTCTGTTCCTACCAGGTACCACAAAGCCGTAGACCTGTGGAAGCGGTACCGTGACGCGGCGGCGGCAGTCAGGGCCTTTGCTGAGTTCCAGGAAGGCCGCCTTCATGCCCTGCGGCCCGACGACGCTCCCGCTACTGCTGAGGTAAGTCAATGTACCTTATTGATTTATGCGGTTGTAGACCAAGAGCTACGCTAACATACCTGATGCAGTTTTCCATAAATTCAAACTATACACGCGTACGCGTACCGAAAAACGCGTGGGACGTCCACCCACAAGGTGGACCGACGACTTGATAAAGGTAGCAGGAAGGCGCTGGATGCAGGCCACTATCAACTGTGCGATGTGGAAGTCATTGGGGGAGGCCTATGTTCAGCAGTGGACGTCCTGTGGCTGAAATGATGTTGATGATGAACCTATACAAACAATTTCAATACTATTATGTCAGAGAGAGCAAAGCTAAATTAACTTAGCTCTTGGTCTGTAACCTGCATAAAACTGGAGCCAAAAAACCCGAAGGCGGTGGCATGCTTGCAGCGCAGGACCGTTTGCTGTGGAAATTCTAACCTTTATATCCAGCAGTAGAGTAGACATATTGATTGAAGAAGATTAAACGAAGGTACAGTCGCGGAATGAAAAGGTTCGTCAGTTTTCAAATTGATTCCTTCAACGAATCGCGAGCACATATTACCTTTTGAAACTATGTTACAGAATAATCTCGAGTTAGAGAAAATAATCTTTAACTGTTCGTCAGTAAAGTTCAAAATTATTCAGATCAAAGTCGATTTATCTTGTCAAGAAGATTATTACGAGGGCGGCACTGAAAATTTCGGGAATCAAGGAAGTGAAACAACATTACTATTTAAAAATGTATTTATTGCTTTTTAAAGTATTCTCCGCGAAATTTGACACATTTTCCCATACACGAAACCAATCATTGAAGCAACCATTCCATTCGGAAGTTTGGGTCTCCAAAATGGCCGTTTTGTAGGCGTCCACAGCTTCTTCAGGTGATGAAAATCTCTGACCACGCAATTTATTCTTTATTTTAGGGAAAGTATCGAAATCACTAGGGCTTAGGTCGGGGCTGTACGGCGGATGGTCTAATAATTCTATGTTTTCTTGCTCTAAAAACTCTTTTGTTCTGTACGCGGTGTGAGAACTCGCATTGTCGTGATGGAGGATGATGCGGCGATTGCAGTTCTCTTTACGGAGTTCAGAAACGACTTGTGGCAAACAAATGCTAGCATACCATTCTGCATTAACCGTTCTTTGTCCCCCAAGAGGAATAGTCGCAACATGGCCGGTTTTGGAGACAAACGTGGCCACCATTTTTTTTGCAACACTCCGTGAACGAACAATTTTTGTTGGCTTTAACTCATTTTCGAACACCCAAACTCGTGACTGGTTTTTTGTTTCGGGTTCGTACGCATATATCCAGGATTCGTCACCTGATACGATGTTGTATACAGCATTTCAGGATCCTGCATGTAATCTTCCGAGAGTTCTGACGCACCAAGTAACGCGAGCCGCTTTTTGCTCTTCACAGAGCGAATGCGGTATCCATCGGGAAAACATCTTTTTTACACCTAATTGTTCATGCAAGATTATTTGTATTTGACTCATGCCAATGTTTAAAGTTTCCTGAATTTTGCGGTATGTCACATGTCGATCTTCTTCAATCAGCTTACGCACAGCATCAACGTTATCTTGGGTGACTGCAGTTTTTGGACGACCTTGACGGGGACCATCACTGAGCTTGACACGTCCACGTTGAAATTCAGCAAACCAGCGATAAATTATGGTTTTGGATGGGGCTTCATTACCAAATGCAGAAATCATCCGGTCAACACATTGTTTTTGTGTTAAACCACTCTGAAAGTCATAATAAATCATCGCTCTTGAATTTTCTCGAGTCAATTCCATTTTCTCAACGACTAAACAAGTTTCACAAGACCTTGTGATAAGACCGAGAATCTTTTTTTAAATAAATAAATGGTATTCGATGCTTAAAACCAAGGAGTTTGCAATTAAAAATATTTTAATATGATAGGAACAGTGGAAATATTCTATTCCCGATACTTTTAGTGCAGCCCTCGTATGATTGATAAACTAAATAAAACCTTCTTGTTGGTTCAACCTGCCATTGTTATTTCTATATAAAAAAAACTACATTTTGTAACATTGCACTGATGGGATGGAAAAATAAACAAGCAAAACCTTATTCGTTAGCAAACGTCATATTTATTTAAATGTTAGCAGCTCTGTTTCTTGCACTGTTATGTTGGCAGATTTGACTCTTACAGTACCTAGTGCAAGCGAAAACCGACACTAAGGTGACGAACCTTTTCATTCTGCGACTGTACATTTACGAGTAGGTGTGACCTTTATTTAATTATGATTCTATAGAACAGCTTCGTTTAGGATTTTTGCTGGTCGGCCTATAATAGACTACGCTGAAAATTATAATAGAGTTAGTTTAATTTCACTTGTCACTTTGATACATTATAAAAAGTGTGTCAATATGTCAATCGATTGGCGGTATCAACTAGGCTACTTAATAGAATGAACTGCATTAAATAATAAAAGATTAGGTATAAAGAAAACGTTTTTCAGGGAATTTCCAAACGGGTAAGACTGAGTTATTCAAATAATTTATGCAAAGCGATTATTTTCCTTCAGCTTTGTCTGTCTGTACCTATTATCCTTCATTTGAAATGTAATGAGCTCTCTTGTCTACCGATAGTGGGTTTAATTTATAAGATAGGTATTGTGGCTATTTACATTATAGTGTTACTTTGCAAAATTGCAAATTGACTACAGTCCAAAAACAAAATTGCATCTTTGATTTTCACGCTGACATACACAGTGGGTACGTCTTACTTATCAACATTAGCATATTCTTGTTATATTGACCTAAGAAGTAAGTGCTAAGCTCTTGAAATGGTCAGTTTTCCGACTTCATTTACAAATATAACCACACCAGTAGCTTACTTTTGAATAGAGGAAATTATACCCACTTGAATGATTCCTCATAAAAATGAGGGCTCTGAAATTAGTGTCAACGATGAATTCTTTATTATTTACTACCTTTCCGCCAGCGGCTTCGCCCGCGTGGAATTTTGTCTGTCACAGATAAACTTTAACGCGCGCGTCCCTGTTTCAAAAACCGGGATAAAAACTATCCTATGTCCTTTCCCGGGACTCAAACTATCTCTTTGCCAAATTTCATCAAAATCGGTTCAGTGGTTTAGGCGTGAAAGCAAGACAGACAGACAGACAGACAGAGATACTTTCGCATTTATAATATTAGTAGAATATTGGAGATATTTTTGGATATGACTGTACAGTAAACCACGATAACTTAACGGGTCTTGCACCGAATTGTTTGCTTAACAGTTATTTTACAAGTGCAAAACAGTAAATTTTGGGCTACTGGCATTTTATGGCATTGTTCGTATTTTACAAACTGTAAATTATAGCTTAAATTAAAACTTGAACTCAATTATTTTAGGGTTAAATACTTAACGGTACAAAAATACCTACATTACTCGTAAACCAAATTAAATATGTTTGTCATGAAAGTAAAAAAAAGTTACCAAAAACGCAATATTAACAGTGATTATGATATTGCAAAGAATAACATCTAATTGGAACCTATTCCAAATAATGGCGTTAAATATCACATATAAAACGGTTAAGGAAACTCAAGGCGAACGATTTGCATCGAGTCGCTTACGTCATCGTCTTTTATACACGAAAACATTAAAATGTTTACCTTACCCGCACCTTACTAGGTTTTATAATAGTTTAGCGCCTAAACAGTTAATGCACGTCCGCACATTTTCCCTAAAGCTGAAGACACACTAGGGGACTGTTTGAAAACAAAGCTTGATCAATGGATGTAATGCCACTAGAAATATTTCAAAGAACAAACTTGTTTCTGTTACTTATGAACTCGTACTTTAGTCTGCTATGGGCGGTTTTTAAAGTTCTGAAATGTAGAAACAGAGTGACGTTTAATGAATGGCAGAATTTTTAAAAGAAGTTATAAAAATAGCATTATCGCATTTCGTCATGATCCTGTCATTTATATTCAGTAGCATAAATTAATAAAGGTGTATTAAAGAGTCAACTTTGGTCTGTGTTGAAATCCTTGGGGGCGGCCTTTGTCCAGCAGTGGACGTCTTTCAGCTGAAACGAACGAACGAACGAAAGATAATGATAATGACTAGGTATAAGTATAATCGCTAACAGTCTGCGTTAGTCAAACCATTCAGTGTGGACTGTGGACCCACCTTAAGTGCATCGACCGAGTAGCCGAGGTGTGTCACGCTGACTCATACGATCTTATTTGGCAGGTTAAAAATTACTTTGGCGACTGACGAGCATATAAAACATTATAATTGCAGTAAGTAGGTAATGACGCTATAAAAATAGTCCGCGCCAATAGTTTTGTGAAAGCATTATGTTAAAATTCGACTCAAAGAGAGATTAAACTCTCTTCACTTTGCAATCAAAAATAGATTAACGCCCGTATTCACAAACATTACTATGAGGTCTCACAGTGCGCGTGACACACGAACCAATCACAGAGCTCCATTCAACGCTGTGCGTTCGATTTACTGCTTCACTTAAGCAAGCATCGTTTGTATATACGGGCGTTACTCATACCACTAAATACATAGACAGCTCGGCATATCTTCGGCTTTATTTTTTACATAAATTGCTAGTTTGTAGTAGTCGTAGAGTAAGAGTAGGCGCACACCGTTGATTTTTAGTTGGCCGATAGTTGTGCCCGATTTTAATTTGTATGAAGAATCGGCCAAATCGAATCGGCGTAGTGTGTGTATGGGAATACATGCCCATACTGATTAACTGCCCTGCCCGACTAAACTATCGGCCGACGAAAAATCAACGGTGTGCGCCTACTCTAAAAGTGCAGCACTAACTAGGCAGGCAAAACAGCTGACAAGCATTTTCGTGCCTGAAAAGCATATTTGCATCTACTCACTCACTACATACACTGCCACGTTCGTAGCTTGATGGAAATTGCTTGCCTGTATACCTTTAGTAGACGCGGATAGTTGGTAAATATATTTCCAATCTTAGTTCTAAACGATCATAGTTTGCAGTGCATTCGT